TGTGTTCAACTTTGCAGACTGTACAGTGTTCTTATCATAGCAACGTCACTGTGGCCCAAAGTAGCCACAGTCAGGACTGGAAAGAGTGTGCATGGCGGGGTGTCAGTAAAACTATTTATGGACATTGAAATGTGAAATGTGAAGTTGATACAATTTTTTGTGTCCCCAAATCTTGTTTTTTTAGTTTCTTTCCAATCACTTAAAAATGTGAAAGACATTCGTAGCTTGCTGGCTGCACAAAGACAGGAGGCAGGGTGGCTTTGGCCCACACCTGGGGTTTGCTGACACTGGTTGGGGGGCTGGGTTGGTTTGACAGGGTCCTGGTGGATAGAACTTTCGTTGTAACATTTTAGAAATTGTAATATGATGGCACAAAATCTTCCATATAAAATGTGATTAGACGGTAAATTAAATGGTGAAGAATGGAAAGATTGGGATTATTCCACATTAAGGACATAAAAAAAACCTCACTGAGGCTATTCTCTAATATGCACAGCATGCAAAAATAAACTTATTTCAAATGGTGACAAACTCTGATATAACACATTACAGAGTATTCCATTTATATCTGACCTTCACAGCAGTTAGGACAGGCATTCACCCCGTTTCACAGAGGAAGAAACTCATTCCCACATGGCTAGTGTCACTGACCCAAGGAGGCCATGCTACAAGGTTAGGTCCAGGATTCGTGTCCAGATCCTCCTCTTACAGATACTGTTCTTGTTTTTGTTTCCCCATATAGGTGGTCCTTTGGAAGAACTGTATTATTCTTATTCTTTTATTCTTATTCTTATTCTTATTCTTATTATTTAAGTAGGTGCCATGCCCAGTGTGGAGCCCAACATGGGGCTTGAACTCATGACCTGAGATCTTGATCTCAGGGCCTGATGGACTGAGCCACTCAGGTGCCCTTAGGACTGTATTCTGAAATATCCTTTCTAAGTCACTTGGAAAGTGGAACTTCTCTCTTTAGAGAAGATAGTAACGAGGTCCCCAGGTTATCCACAAATGATGTTTGAGAACTGTAATATAACACAACTGCAGTCCTGTGGAGCAATAGGAGTTCTGGGTCCTGGGGGCTGTGGGAAGTAGAAAGGAGGGGGTCAAATTAATTTTCTTTGCCCATGAGTGGCTGTCGACAAAATTTCCAAGTGGTTAGTGATATCTATGGCACTTCCTGTTCTCCCATCTCTGGCCACTGGGGCCCCTGATTTGCCCCAAGCCCTCCTGTGAAACCCTCCAGGGGCTCAGTCTCATGGGGTCTGTGGAGGAGCTTGTAAATACCACCAATCCCTGGGCTCCACCTCCACCGTCATTAATTGGTCAGGGGTGGGGCCTGCACATTCCTTAGTTTTTTTTTTTTTTTCTTTTTTAAAATTTCTTTTCAGCATAACAGAATTCATTGTTTATGCACTACACCCAGTGCTCCATGCAATATGTGCCCTCCATAATTCCCACCACCAGGCTCACCCAACCTCCCACCCCCAACCCCTCCAAAACCCTCAGATTGTTTTTCAGAGTCCATAGTCTCTCATGGTTCATCTCCCCTTCCAATTTCCCTCAACTCCCTCTCCTCTCCATCTCCCTATGTCCTCCATGTTATTCCTTATGTTCCACAAATAAGTGAAACCATATGATAATTGACTCTCTCTGCTTGACTTATTTCACTCAGCACAATCTCTTCCAGTCCCGTCCATGTTGTTAAAAAGTTGGGTATTCATCCTTTCTGATGGAGGCATAATACTCCGTAGTGTATATGGACCACATCTTCCTTATCCATTTGTCCGATGAAGGGCATCTTGGTTCTTTCCACAGTTCCACTGCAATTGCAGTACTGGGTATTTACCCCAAAGATACAGATGTAGTGAAAAGAAGGGCCATCTGTACCCCAATGTTTATAGCATTCCTTAGTTTTAAGCTTCCCAGGTGATTCAGATATGGGGCCAGCTGTGAAAACCGCTGTGGCTAAACCCGAACCTCCCTTCTTGTCCTACGGCCGACCTCAGTCAAGTGCTAGGAAGGGTGCTGATGAAGAGTTTTCACACCGTTTTGGTCTCATGCATCCTGCATCCATTTGGTTACTAAGCCTGTTAAACCCAATGGGTCAATATGTTTGTCCTCTCAGCTCTGATCACAACTGCCCAAAGACAGACTGTTGTTTCTGGTCTCAAGCAGTACTTCTCAATCTCTCTGTGCTGCAGCATCATTTTCCTTTTCTTCTTTAAAAGTCTTCCCCCCCCCATGTTACTTTATCAAATACATTGAAAACAGGTACTAGAAAAAGGAAATGAAAAGGTTCACAAAGAACATGCCCCAGTCTTTTATGATGATCTTCAACAGACACAAAATGACATGTATTGCTCTAAAAGTATGTTTCTTTTTTTTTTTTAAAAGACTTCATTTATTTATTTGAGAGAGAATGAGAGAGGGAGAGAGAGAGAGGACATGGAGAGGGGAGGGCCAGAGAGAGAAGCAGACTCCCCACTGAGAAGGGAGCTGGATGCATGAGGGACTCAATCCTGGGACTCCTGGATCATGACCTGAGCTGAAGGCAGTTGCTTAACCACCTGAGCCACCCAGGCGCCCCAGTATCTCAGTTTCTGTACCGGTCACAGACTGGTAGCCGGCGGTTGGGACTGGTGTGTGCTAGGCCAGGCCTGTGTTGCCGAGGGGCCCCAGGCTGTCCACGTGCTCACACAGCCTCCTCACCTGTCTGCTTGCTAGTCCTTGAGTAGATATGCTCTCACTTTTTAATGCTTTTGCCCCTAGTTCCCTCTGCTTTCTCATATTGTCTGCCTTCAAACCTGTGACAGTGTCATCTTGGACAAAGCTTTCTCTGGCTGTACCTGGATAATTTAGATAATTTCTGCTTTCTCATACTGTCTGCCTTCCAACCTGTGACAGTGTCATCTTCTGGATGAAGCTTTCTCTGACTCTACCTGGATAATTTAGATAATTTCTTCATTTGACAATTACATATATGTGTGTGTGTGTGTATGTATATTTATTTCAGCTACTGTCCTCTGCCCTTTCTAGGCCAGACTACCTAATTTGTAGAGCCCGGTACACAATGAAAATATAGGGCCTTTGTCTAAAAAACATTGAGAATTTCAGGATGGAGATAGTGTCTGAAACCATGTATACAGTGTGTGCTCTGATACATTTATATATTGTAATGTGATTGCCATGCTAACAATATTTATCACGTGACATAATTATAGTACAATATGGTCTATATTCATTATACTGTGCATTAGATATCTATGGCTTATTTAACTACTTGTTGCAAGGGAGCCTTCTAAACATGGGGACCTGGAGGATTCCATGGGTCATATGCTCCAGAGGCCAGCCCTGGGCTTATCTCTGTGCTTGCCTTACAACAGCACTCTGACACTGACTCGTAATTATCTACGTGTGCACTGAGGTGTAGAAAGACTGTATGTGTCAGAATGCCGTATAGGACCGTGAGGTCTGTGGCTTGGAGAAGCTTTGTTAGGATGGGAGCCAGCTTCCTGAGGAGCACGCACCCCTGCACTGGATTTTCACTAAATGCCATTAACATTTTTTTTTTCCATCAATAGCAGGGCTCTGGCTGTTTTGCAGTGTAGCGTATGCAAGTTTATGTTCAGAGCTGAAGCACTTGGCATTGTAGGCAGAGGAGAAGCTGGCTGGCATGTAGGGAAAGGACGTAGGAAAAGGACAGAGCTGTGGCAGAGATGGAGAGTGGAAGGGATGGCTCATCCCATGATCACACTGGTAGAGTCATCTATGGATGTGCAACATGCATGTGCCCTGTGCCCCCGTGACCTGCACTGCTGGTCCCCAGAGAGACCAAAGCTCTGTGAAGGAGCTGCCCCCTTGAAGGACACAGAAAATTGTTGAATCCAGAATCAAGATGGAAACTCTTCAGCCTAATTTTTGTTCATGCATCTCTGTTTCTTCTAAGAGATGACAGTCTCCAGTCAGTGATGATCAATATTGATTGAGTGGAGCAATTTGGGCGTTAAACAGAGCATGTCTCTCAGTGGCACAGTTGTAGCCAGTGTTACAAAATGAATGGAAAGACAGGTGGGCAGCAGTTTGGGGAGCTTTTTTAACGCAGAAGAGCCCTGCGGGGGCAATACGCCCTCTAGTGTCAGGAACTGTAATGAAAAGTGGGTGCAGAAAAGGCAGATCAGCTGAAATTTGCTTTCCTCTCAGACTCACACTGCTCTTTCCTGTCCTCAAACTCCTCAATTTCTGGACTCCCCCAGCGTCTCTTGCTGGGTTTCTTCCATGGCCTTAAGAGACTGGGGATAAGAGAGGGAGGGAATTCTAATCATGAGGATTAGTTTGAGGGGACTCCCCTTGGTCAAGACCTGATTTTTTAGGGACTAACAATTTCCAACAGCCCTCCCAGATGGGGCTCTCTGTTGTGCTGGATTATCTCTTGAACTTAATCTTTAGATAATAATTAAGACTTGGAAAGTTGGTCAATGAACAGATGCTGTTTCTAACCTCCTTCTAGGTATTTACACCTCAAGCCGGGCAGCTGTGACCGTGGGGTGGCTCAGAGGTAACATTTGAAGTAGCTGCTGCTTTGATGTTAAGTCGAATGGCCTGGAAGAGCTGGCCATTGTAGGAACCTGCGTGCCACACTTGTCCTGGGTACCCTGTACTACCCTGCGAATACCCTTTCCATGCTGTGTGCCTCCACCACGTCCTCTCTCCTGTTAGCACATAGTTTCCTTGTTGACTTTTGTGTTTGTCTTGTTCCTGACTATGGCCTCAGCTTGCTCTTCCCTTGCAGTGGAGTGCAGATGAGTGTACTAAAGAAAGACTCTTTCTAACGTTTGACTAAATCAGAGGGTGGGGAGCCTTTTCTGAAGGCCTCGGAAGCAGGACCTCTTAGAAACAAGGAGGGCCTGTGGAGGAGGATAAGAAGCCTCTTTCCTAAGACTCTGTACCCCTGCTCACTGTTGAGAAGGAGCCAAGGTCTCAGCTGCCTTTTCTCTTTGCAGGTCGGATTGGTATAATCTGATCCCTGCATGGCTAAGACACCGGCAGTCAGGGCTGCAGGCCAACGGCCAATACTTCATGCTGGAGGACTCCACTTTCTGGATCTTTGGGGGCTCCATGCACTATTTCCGGGTGCCCAAGGAATACTGGAGGGACCGCTTGCTGAAGATGAAAGCCTGTGGCTTGAATACCCTTACCACGTGAGTACTGCCCCACCCCACCACCAAGCATGGGCATTTGTGGCATCTGTGTATTGGGCTTCTTTAAGGCAACCCAGACTGTGGGTCTCCATCTGGCAGGATCAGCCCTGCCAGATCCTGAATGTGAGCTGTCCCTGAAGAGAATCTTTGGGCTGAATTTTGTGAGGAAAAATATAGGAGGAGCCCAGTCCTCTGCACAGGACTGCCAGGTACGACAACTGCCTTCCCTCACCTGCACAGCGCTCCCTGTTTGTGCGGATGAGAAGACAGGCTGGATGTATAAGCTTTAGAGGAATAGAAAGAGCAACGGCATACAAAGGTATACAGTGAAGGAGGTGAGTGTAGGTGTAGGAGGTGATTAAATTATCGAATATATATACGTCTATATCTACATACATCGATATATCTATATATCTATATAGATAAATATATCTATATCTAGATGCATATAGATATAGATATATTTAAACAAGCACACCCACCCCTTAGTTTATTCAGCAAATGAGTAAGATCTTTTTCAAAATAGCTTCCTTGGTGAAAGCATTTTCAGGCAGAAATATGTGATTATAGATCAAGGATGTGGATTTTCTTGAACAGTTTATGAGGTAGCTTTGTAGACAATTTCTAAAAAGAATTACAGGAATGTTCTGGGCCATCACAACATAGCTGAAACAAATGTATATAATTTTCCAGAAAGATTACTTAAAAGGATCCATTTATTTGCATATGTAAATTCTGGTCCTAGGGGTACATTCACACATCACAGGACTCCTCAATCTTGTGGGAATATGGCAAGCTAAGCATTCTGTTATTAAAGCTAGGTAATCTGTATTTTCTCAAACACGGAACTCCTGAGTCTGAATTGGAAGCAAGCAAACCTCCTCTCCCTATACCTGAGCACATTCTTTGCAGCTGGAGAGGGCTCCATTAGAAGCTGGGGGGGGGGGTTCCAGGAGAGGACCAGCTGTTACTGGTTACTGATGTGTGTTACTGTCATACATCACCCCATATCTCTGCCTCTTGAGTTGGGCCCTTTAAATAACTTATTTTATTTCCTTATCTTCTAAAGAGAATACAAGGAAAGAATTCTTTGGAATTTTGGTTGCTTCAGTAAAAATAGGACTGACCACTGAGGTTTCCTCTTATCTTACTTTTAACTTTTTCTCTTAATAAATTACTTTTTTTTCCCTCTGATCAAGGAAAAATGAGAGAGGTGGGGAGGGAGGAGGAAGTAGGGGGAGTGGAGTGCATGCTCAAGCTGACCTGTGGTCCCATCTTAGGCTTTACCGAAATCTTACTGGCCTTCTCTCGCTTCTCCTAAGGAGATGACATATTAGCCCCCACACCCCATCCAGGGACTGGCCCTGGATTCTCTAAGGTCCCTAGATCTCTTCACTTAGTTCTTGGTTACAATCCTGACACCATTACAACAATGTACCTAATATATCCTCAGACATTTTAGGGATAAAGAAGGTAATCTAGATGACAAAGTGGAATAAATGAAAAGCTCAATCCTGTAAATATCTTCTATTACAGCTATGTTCCATGGAACCTCCATGAACCAGAAAGAGGCAAATTTGACTTCTCTGGCAACCTGGACCTGGAGTAAGTGCTGTTGCTGCTTCTATGGCCTGGCCTGGGGTAGAGAGGCAGAGAGGTGACCCCTTGGGGTTGGTTAGGAACTGTGGGACCATCTTGGTTCTGCTTTGAGAACCACAGAAAGGCGGGTCAGGAGCCTTATTCTTAGGAACCACATGCTGTCTCGCGATGAACCTGTTACTCCTGGGGGTCTGGGTCTGCCTACTCTGAGTCCCAAACCTCTTCACTGTAGTCCAGCAGTGCCTAAACCCCAGTGTCTGTCCTGCTTTGCAGTGTGGTCCAGCTACCTGGGCTGGGACAGGGGTTGCCCTTCTATGGTAGCAAGGCGGTTGGGGTCAGGTTCACTGTTAGGATCCCCGTACCCTGTCTAATACCCTTCATCCTTATGCCCCCAGTGGGGCTGTGCAGAAGGTCTTAGTCTGGGAGCAGGTGAGAACCCAGCTCCCAGGGCCTCTGAAGGCAGGGAGGAGAGGAACTGGGCAGCTCCACCACCTTGGGATGCTGGGCTTGTTTCCACCGTCCTCCTCTGTGTCTTGAGAGTTGCTGACACCGACCTCCCTAGGGCCTTTGTGCTGATGGCTGCAGAGATCGGGTTGTGGGTGATTCTGCGTCCAGGCCCTTATATCTGCAGTGAGATTGACCTCGGGGGCTTGCCCAGGTGAGTGGGGCTATGTGGGGCTCCAGCTGTGGCTTGAACTGTCCTCTGTGCTTGTGCAAAATAGTGATTACAAATGTAGGTTTAATTTTGCTACTAAAGTATATTTTTCGTTTTGTACTGAAATTCTTTTTCAGAATAAGTGGTACCAAAGGAGGCCATTTTAAATGATGTCACTTTATTTGATAAAGTATAAGAGAAACAAAGTAATGTTTTTGTTTTATGTTTTATCTTCAAATCTCAGGCTTTAATGAATTATGTTAGGATGTGTAGTCTCCACTAAGGTCAGTAGAGTTCTCTGGGGTTGGAGTAGAAATCTGGACAGTAATCACCTGGTACCACATTCATTCCTTGTCCTCATTATTACTGCCATTAACTTTCAACAAAAAAGACTTTCTTGTTAATAGGTATAATGTTTCCCATCCTTAGGGTGTTCCAGATGGTTAGATCCACCTTCTCTCTACCCCATGCTGCCCCAAGAGGGAGGAAGACTGGTCTTGTTTGCCTTGTGGTCTCCTTCGGGAATGGTCTCTCCCCACTGCACAGCCACCAGCCCAGGCCTTGTTTTCTCTTTTGTCTCCAGTGCAACCCAGCCCTACCCTAGGGATCCAAGCAGCCTCTATCTCCATTTCCTTTGATCCCTAGGATCACCTCCTTGTCTCTGTGCCCTTGACAAGGCTGTGCACACAGCCAGAGTGCCCTCCCCCTGCACCTAGGGATTAGAAATCTCTGTGTCAGCGATGTCCTCAGGCTCAGCTGGAGCTGCCAGGAGGACAGAATTTAAGTGTTAGCTCAGAAGCAGCGGGAGTTCCAGCACTTAGCCCTCCTCCTGGGCAGCACTGTCCATTCATATCCTGGCATGTGGGCACACCCTAGGGAGGCCCAAATAAGCAGAGACCCAGTGTTGATGAGAAGCTAGACCCTTCTAGGTGAGATGGAGGGTGGAGGTATCCGTCTCGAGGAAGCTGCTCTTTCCTCAGGCATTTTTACCTAACATAAATTGATCATTTTCTGACCTGTTCAGGGCTTCCAAATTAGGAGAACCATCAGAGCCTTTATAAGAAAATATAAGTGTTTTCTCAGAAATTTCAAGTGAGAAGGAAAACTTTCTGACTCCAGCTCTGGAAGGAATGATATGATCTGGGGAATGCAATCACAATGGACAAGTTGTGGAAAACATTCCCCTTCTTCCTCACCTGCAACTCCCCTGAGCTGAAGTCTGAAGAGCTGAGGAGGCTGATGCTAATGTGCCCCCCTCCCCCGCCAGCCAGGAGAGCAGTGGGGAGAAGTCCGATTAGCCTCTGATGGCCTCTGTGTCAGGACTGGTTTTCTGGGTGACACTGGAAGGTTGCATCTGGCCCCAGTGATTCCTTAACCCTTTTGGCTTCACTGCTTTGTAATGAGATTTTAGAGTAAATGCTTCAACGCTGGGCCTTGCGTTCAGTGAAAAGCTTTCTCACGCTGCCTGGCAGCCAGACCTATCTATATAGCCATAAAGCTGGAAATAAAATCCCTAGCCGTGCTGGTTGTCTTTTTGTAGGGAAGCAGTGCAGAGTGCAGGGCTGGAGCTGTGGAAGTATTTGTCTCTGGATCTGTTTGCACAATCTGCCTTCCTGGCTGAGTGGAGGTAGTGGGGTGGGAATGGTCTCACTACCCCCAGGACTCTGAAGCTGCTTTTCTCCCCCACCATCATCCTATCCAGAATAAACCCACAGACAGTGAAACTAATTCCCACCCCCCCTTTTATTCAAGCTGGTTACTCCAAGACTCTGGCATGAGGCTGAGAACAACTTACAAGGGCTTCACGGAAGCAGTGGACCTTTATTTTGATCACCTGATGTCCAGGGTGGTGCCACTCCAGGTAAAAGCAAGGAGCCTCCTCTTTGATCTTCAGCTGTCTCCTACCGGGAGTAAATAGTCCTAGGTGACTTCTCAGACTAGGGGCTCACAGTTCCTTTCAACACAGGAATGCATTCTTTTCCACTGCCTGAGATCTGTAATTAGAGGGGTTTGTAATAGTTGTCTTCTAAAAGATACATTTCAGTGTTGTCTTAGGTGGCAAAGTGCTGAAGGGATAGACAGGCACAAGGACTGATGTTCATCTTCACAGTGTCAGAGCTGCCACATGTGATGTCTTGGTAACTGAAAAACCCGCCAACTGGTGTCCCAGTACCAGTACCAGTGGCGTACTTACTGGCTCAGTCCTACGTGGAGAGGAGCGTAAACAGATGGGCCCTTACCTGTAAGACAGCAGGACTTTTTGTGGTTATAAAATTACAGTTGATGACTTTTCAAGGTATATCTTTTGGCTACCTACCAAAAAAGTGCTGTGTGGTACACATTTTATTCAAAACATAGGTGATAAAAAATCAGTGTTGGGGAGAAAGTATCTTATCCTTGCATGTAATATTTGGAGGCAATAAAAAGGCAGGAATGGGAATAATTAATCCAATAGTATATAAAAATTAGAAGAATCATGCTGAGAAATTAGTACATTTATTAAAAAAATTAGTACATCTACAAAAAATTGCTGTTGAGTTGGGGCGCCTGGATGGCTCGGTTAAGTGGCTGCCTTCGGCTCAGGACGTGATCCCAGGGTCCTACATCAGGCTCCTTGCTAAGCAGGGAGTCTGCTTCTCTATTTACCTACTGCTCAACTTGCTGTGCTCTCTCGCTCTCTGACAAATAGATAAAATCTTTAAAAAACCATGCTTTTGAGTCAATCGTTTAGAATGTTCAGAGCACACACAGACCAAAGGAATTCCGTGACCATTTATAGGGTAGGCAAATAAAACACAGGTGCTCAATTAAATTTGAATTTCAGCTAAACAAGGAGTATGTTTTTTAGTATAAATATGTCCTTAATATTACATGGGATGTACTTACATTATAATATTCATAATTTACATAAAAATATATTCATTGTAGATTCAAGTTTAGCTGACTATCTTGTATTTTTTACTTAATCATGAAAGAAGTAAGAAGCCAGGAAATTATTAGCCTAGATTTTTGCAAGGAAGATGGGATTACTGAGATTACTCAGCGGGTTGTAGTAGATTGGGTGCTGGAGGTAGAGGCAGGGGTTGTAGGGAAGGTCATTCAGGAATATGGCTCAGAAGCATTCTTAAATACGGAAGTAGTGTACCAGAAATTAAAAAAAAAATTCTGGGTATAACATAATTATTTTGTTTTTTATTGTGGCAAAATATACCTAACAGAAAATTTACTACTCTTGCCATTTTAAAGTGTAGAGTTCACATACATTTACATCGTTGTGCAAACAGTACTACCATCCATTTCCTGAACTTTTCCATCTTCCCAAACTGAAACTTTCCATTAAACATTAACATCTCACCTCCCCTCTCCATAACCTCTGGCAACCACCATTCTACTTTGTGTTGCTATGAAGCTGACCACTCTAGGTACCTCATATAAGTAAAATTATAGTGTTTGTCCTGTTATGACTGACTTCTTTTACTTAGCATGTCTTCAAGGTTCATTCGTCTTGTAGCTCGTGTATCAGGTGTCAGAATTTCCTTCCTTTTTAAGACAGAATCATAATTTTTGTATGTCTGTATCACATTTTATCCACTCATTCATGAATGGACACCTAGGTTGCTTCTGCCTATTGTGAATAATGTTGCTATGCTAGTTAATCTTACTAAAGTTTTGTCAATTTTGTTAATCTTTCCAAAGAACTAACTCTTGGTTTTGTTGTTTTTTTCTCTGTTTTTTTTTTTAATTACCTATTATTGTCACTATTCTAATCTTTATTATTTCCTTCCATCTGCTACCTTTGAGTTTAGTTTGTTTCTTTTTTCTAGTTCCCTAAGGTGAAAAGTTAGATGTTGACCTAAGATCTTTCTTCCTTTTTAATGTGTTTACTGGTATAAATTTCCCTCTTAACACCGCTTTTGCTGCATCCTGTAAGTTTATGTTGAATTTTTATTTTCATTTGTCTCAAGATATTTCCTGATTTCCTGATTTCTTTGAATCATTGGTTGTTTTTAAGAGTGTGTTGTTTTATTCCCACATATTTCTGGGAATTTGAGATGTGAATTTTTCATTGTTCTTTTTGCTGTTGGTTTCTAGTTTCATTCTGTTGTAATCAGAAAAGACACATTATATGACTTCAGTCTTTTAAAATTACTAAAACTTGTGTTGTGGCCTAACATATGATCTGTCTTGGAGAATGTTCCATTTGTATACATTTGAGAAAAATGTGTATTGTGTTATTGCATGGACTGTTCTCTATGTATTTGTTAGGTTCATTTGATCTATAGCATTGTTCGAGTCGAAATCTAGGTCTTTTCATTAGGGAATTTAATCCATTTACATTTAAAGGAATTATCGATAGGGAAGCATTTACTTTGGTCATTTTTTGTTTGTTTTCTCTATGTTTTATAGCTTTTCTCTCCCGTATTTCCTCCATTACTAATTTCCTTTGTATTTAGTTGTTTTTTATAATTACAAGTTTTAATTCCCTTTTCATTTCTTTTGTGTATATTCTATAGTATTTTCATTGTGGTTACTGTGGAGATTACAGATACTGTCCTAAAGTTATGACACTCTGTTTTATATTGGTGCCAACTAAACTTCAGTTACACACAAAAACTACTCCTTTACGCCTCTACCTCCCTGTATGGTATTTGTCTTTCTCTGACTGACTTATTTTGTTCAGCATAATACCCTCTAATTATATCCACATTGTTGCAAATGGCAAGGTTTCATTCTTTTTGACATTCACCTCTATTGGAGAACTTCGTATTTTCCTGTGGCTTCAAGCCACTGTCTAGTATCTTTTCATTCAACTTGAGGGATTCTGTGTAGCCTTTCTCATAAGTCAATTTTAGTGTTATCAAACTCCCTCAACTTTTATTTGAGAATGTCTTAATTTCTCCCTTACTTTTTGAAGGACAGTTGTACTGGATGTAGAATTCTTGGTTGATAGGGTTTTTTTTTTTTTTTTTTCTTTCCCTTCAGCCCTTTGACTGTATCATCCTTCTGTCACTGCCCTGCAAGATTTCTGGTGAGATATTCACTGATAGTCTTATTGGGGATCATTCATACGTGTCAAGTTGCTTTTCTCTTTCTCCTGTCAAGAATCTCTTTTTGTCTTTGGCTCTGACAATTTGATTGTAATGCATCTTGGTTTGGTCTTTTTGTTAATACTACCTGGAGTTAACTGAAGATTCTTGGATTTGTATATCTATGTCTCCTCAAATTTGAGAGGTTTCCAGACATTAATTCTTCAAATAATCTCTCTGCCCTGTTTCTTTCTTCTTTTTGGGATTTCTGCAATGTGTATATTTATCTGCTTACTGATGTGTATGTCTCTCAGGATCTGTTCACTTTTCCCCATTCTGTCACTTTTTGCTCTACAGACGGAATAATTTAAAATGACTTGTCTTCAAGTTTTCCCATTCTTCCTGTTTGAATCCATTGTTGAACTTCTATGGTGAATTTTTCTATTCAGATACTGTATTTTTCAGCTGCAGAAATTTTATTCTTTTAATACTTTCTCTTTATTGATATTTTCACTTTGCTGATATAGCCTCTTCCTGATGTCTTTGTCTATGTTTTCTTTAGCTGTTTGAAAAAAAAAAAGTGTATATATATATATGTGTGTGTGTGTGTGTGTGTTTTAAAATCTTTGTCTAGTAAGTCCAGTGTGTGTTCTTTAAAGAATGTTTCTAGAGATATACTTTATCCTTTTGAATGAGCTATGTTATGCTGTTTCTTTGCCTGTGTTTATTGTTGTTGTTGTTGTTGTTGTTGAAAATTGGTCATTTGAAACAACAGTTACCTCTCTCAGTCTTTACAGACTAGCGGAGAACACCTTCATTATTTGGCGGGCTCCTAAGCATTAAGATCACAATAGGGTGATGGCTTTAGATCTTCTCAGATGTTTTCTGGGAATGTGTCTAGTCTGGCCTGTGTGTGTGCCACCTTTTTTTCCTCCTAATTTTCCCTGGCTGCTTTTACATATATTAATTTCCCAAAGAGTCTCACCTCAGTTTCTCTTTCTTTCTTTCTTTCTTTCTTTTTTTTAAAGATTTTATTTATTTATTTGACAGACAGAGATCACAAGTAGGCAGAGAGGCAGGCAGAGAGAGAGAGGAAGGGAAGCAGGCTCCCCACTGAGCAGAGAGCCCGACGCGGGGCTCGATCCCAGGATCCTGGGACCACGACCCGAGCCGAAGGCAGCGGCCCCAACCCACTGAGCCACCCCGCCACCCCTCTTTCTTTTTTTTTTTTTTTTTTTGCCTCAGGTGTTCTATCATATTCCTCTACCTATAACCCCTTGCACCTGGCATACATGGGCCTTTAGACCCCCTGACATTTTCACATGTTGTGATCTTCATTGCCTTGTATTGTTTCCAACCTGAGGTCCAAGCTATGCCATTTTCTGTATGAGCTCCAAGTCAGATGAGACAGAAACTAGTCTACTGGGAAGCCTACAGACAGTCCAGAATATTGCAAACAAGTTCCATTTTGCTCCTTCTGTCTTCAGGGAGGGAACTGGGGATTGGGTTGCTTTTTTCTGACTATGCCATGCTATGCCAGCGAGGAGGTGGGGCAAGGGTGAGGAAAAACACCAGGAGATTTCTTATGCTTTTAAACATGCATTTTTCTTGATTTGCTTAAACATTTAACTGGTTTCCAGAGCTCTTAAAAAGTTATTTTAGTCAGTCTGTAATTGTTTATTTGATGTTCCCATAAGGGAATGAGGACCTGGAACTCCCTACCTACTCTGTGTCTTACTGACATCCTTCTCAATTATATTACCAAATCTTTTGAGACTTTTGCTTTCAAATGGAATATTTTGCTGGTAATTGGTGATAAGTGTGGTGAAATTAGTACAGTTTCCACTACAAACTCAGCTTTTGATTATTTATCTCTTTCCCCAGTATAAGCATGGAGGCCCCATCATTGCTGTGCAGGTGGAGAATGAATATGGTTCCTATAACAAAGACCCCGCCTATATGCCTTACATCAAGAAAGTAAGTCAGTTTGGTTTATTTCTTCATATTCCTTCCTCTGAAATGTAGTATGGGCTATGATGTGACATGTTGGTCTAATTCTTTTCTCATATTAATACCACATTTCCTAGCACTATTTATTAATTTCCTAGCACCATTTATTAATTAGTGAATCCTTTCACCATACTTTTATTTCAGTGGTGTCATCACTTTTTATCACCATTTATCAATTGATTCTAATTGTGGGTTGTAGTACATATATGGTATTGCAGTGGCTGAAAATAAAGGGATGGGTTTCATTGAGTGTGATGACTAGTGAAGTCTCTCTGTAGAGGCTGCTTTCATTCCAGCATCTAATGCAAGGGTTCCCAGCTTCATGTGAACTTAAACATCACTTTAAACATGTGAACATCACTTTTAAAATCCCTGTGCCCAGGCCATGTACCATACCAATTAAATAAGAATCTCTGGGTTCTTATTCCAATGTGTGGGTTATTTTGAGAACCACTGAATTAATGTGTGGCAGATCAGGGTAGGGCAGGGCTAGATGACACTTAAAAGAACAGGGATATACTCTGCTCTGGTTTCTATCCATTTTTAGCTAAGGCCTTGAGCAAATGCCTTAATTTTTCTAAACCTCCATTTTCTCTTCTTTGAAGTTGGACTAATGAGAGAATTTGCCTCTCTGAATTGTGCATGTGTATGAGATCATCTGGCTCAGGACTATTCTAGCCATATAGTAAGTAGTCAGTAAATAAGACTTTGATAGATTATTGGCAGTGGTTTTATAGTACTTAGAAGGACAGGCCATGGTGTGGGTTGAGGAAATGGTAAGTGGCCTTAGGGAATCCACCTAATTAAAGTTGCTTTAGCTTTGGCCCTTGATGTCAGCATCTCTTCTGCTGTCATAGGCAGATTCATTTTCCATTTGGAAATTACTTCAGTCCCTGCACACAGGCTCAAGCACTCCAGCTTATAGGCTCTCATGTAGTCTTGCCCCCTTCTTATCACCTGCAGAAAGCCCTGTCTCTAGGGAGCAAGCCTGTCTCCAGGAAGAGGCATTCCCAAAGCTGGGAAGGGGAGCTCCAGAATCAGCTTCCATTCTGATAGTCAAGCCCAACTGCAGCCTGTTTAGATCACACTTCCAGCTTCCTCTTTGCCTTTGAATTAGCTAGAAAGATCCCAGCCATGCCTCAGGATAGGAGGGCTTCTCCCACTGTAACTCCTTTCCTTGGACTGTCTCTCAAATGCTGGGGTTTCTCCAGAAGGTGTTTACTGAGTCCTGAGCTGTAGAGAAGGAGAGCTCTGCTGATGGGTGGAGGGGAGAGTGCAATCCCTTCAGGGGCTTCTCCAGTTCAACTTCTTTGGTGTCTGGGGAAGGTATCCACATGTGAGACAGATGCACAAAAAGAAGCTGCAGCTTCTGTCATCCTCTGTCCTGAGCTCTTGGGAGGATCCCCTCCTAGAGCTGCCATGCAGCTTTTCCTGGATATTGCAGATATACAGACACCATCAGCATAGGATGACCTTGGGTCGAACACCTGATCTTTTTGAGCCTTAGCTTCATCATGTGCTCAGTGGAGTTAAGAATGCCTTTATCTAAGGCTGCTCTGGGAATGAAGTGAGATTACAGACACAAGACCCTACTTCTGTTTGACAGTTCGCTGGTGCTCAGGAAATAGTAATTACCCCTTATGGTATGCAGTCAATAAATTAAAGCCTGTGAAAAGTCAAGTGTAAATAGTACAGCTGTAAAAGAAGGTTACACTCTCCCAACCGACACCATGCTGTATGTGTAAGGTAGGAACTGAGGCAAAGCCTGTTATATATCGGCAAATGACTGGGTCGAGAGTTGTGAGGTGCCGAGTCCAGATTTTAATAAAAATCTCACCCTGCTTAATGAATTGAACTTCTGCAGCTTCTGTTGTTTCTGAGAATTAGGGCCCCCTCTGCCCTTACTGTCTTGTAGGTTTTGGACATGAACATTATGTACCTACTAGATTATCTCTATCTCACCTATTTCCCAAAGAATTTGGTTAAAATAAGTAGTCTTGTCAAAATATCTGCAGGGAAAATTAGAGGACAGTTCCCCTTGCTGGGGTTTCTGATCCAGAAGAGCCCACAGCCCGAGAGCAGAGCCTTCCAAGGTGAACAGACTCTGGATTCAGGTCCATACTATCTTATTTGCTCTGTATCCCTTAACACTTTGTCCAACCTCTCTGAGGCTCTTTGTCTGTACAGTTATTAATTGCGAAGAGTGAATAGGACAGTCTATGTAAAGTATTTAGCAGAAGGCCTGCCATGATTGTAAGTGGTTCATAAATGTAGCAGTTACTCTGAGTAGTAAAATGGTTACTGCCTTTCAGCGCAGCGTGTGCTCCTTCTACTTCTTCATTTGATTGACAACTTTCGAGGAGATCTTCCTGTTCTACTGGGCACATGCAGCATGTCTTGGGCATGTGACTGTGTTGAACAGAGCCCACCCTGGCCCAGTGTAGGGGAGGAATGGGCTGCTTCTTTCTGATGTGGGGGGAGCTGGAGGGTCAGGAGGGTCAGGAGGTCCTGACCTGCTCATGGACCCCCTGCAAGCTGGCCTCTGCATAGGCCCGTCTAGGAACAGCATATTAGCGAGAACTGGCCCCTCAACAGATCTGTGGCAGCCAAGGGATGCCAGCGTCTGACAGCCCTGCCCTTGCCTCCGCTGGACTTCAGCTGATAGGAGCTTTGTTGAACGTGTTGAGCACAAACAGGATAGGTTTCTGTCCACTTTCCGTGGTGAAGTAAATGCTTTATTTTGAAACTTTCCTTCTTTCCTTTCTAACTGTCCCTTCCCAACTCTGAGGAACGACATATTGACTTGTTTTCTTTTCCCCCCACAGGCCTTGGAGGACCGAGGTATTGTGGAATTGCTCTTGACTTCCGACAACAAGGATGGCCTGCAAAAGGGAGTCATGGATGGAGGTGCCTGCCTGGAAGCTGTGCGGGGGGAGGGTGGGAGGCAGCACCCTAGCCTCACTCTGCATTCTTCCCCAAATGGCCTGGGCCACCAGTGGAGTTTCCCTGATGTCTGAGCTTCTCCCATTTGCATGGCATCGGGCCTGAAGCTCTGGGCCTCAGAGGGTTGGAGGATCTGTGGCAGACGGATCTCTGGTCTCCCACTTCTGCTGAGCACTCTCTCAGGACACTAATAGTGCTCTGCAAACTGCAAGACGGGAATGGTGAGTTGGTCATCCTAAAGGAAGGTCTTTTTGAATGTCCGCAGAGAAGGCAGAGCAGATGAATCAGGATGGGGTGTCCTGTTAGGGTGGCTTAGTCAAACCCTGCCAAAATCATGGAGATGGCTGACCACTGTCCAGGGGGTATGTAGCCCCTGTGGTGATGGCAGCTGGCTGGGCAGCAATTATACAGTAGTACAGGGCATCTGTTCCCCTTACTCTGAGTCTCTTCCTGTTACTGTAGAGGCACTGGCCCAGCTTCACCCTTGTGCACTAAGCCCCTTGTCCCTGAGCTACTCAAGGACATTGCTCCAGCAACTCCTGCTTCTGCCCTGGGTCATCAGATTTTCTCTCTCTATTGGGTCATTCCCATCAACATATAAACATGTTGTTATTTCTCTCTTCTAAAACAACTCTCTTGCCTCATTTCCCTATCCAGAGGCTGCTGTGTTTCTCTGCTCTCCTTCAAGAGATCTCCCCATGCCATGCTCAATGGCTGCTCCAGTCTGTTTCCTTTCCATCTCTCTTAAACCGTGGGGGTCATGTTACCACCCTTGCCATTTCACTGCCTCTGTTCTTTTCAGGGTTGCCAGGGACTTCCATGTTTCAAATTTAAATGCTTGTCCTTGTCGCCTCTGACCTCTCTGATTTTGTCAGCAACCATCAGTCTCTTTCCCTTGAAGTGTTTTCCTTCCTTGGTGTCTGAGACCCAATTTCTTGGTTTTTCTCTGACCTCACAGGCTATTCCCAGCTGATATCTCCCACTGGTCACTTCTCTGTCCCTGAGTTCTGATATTTAAATTTTTTACTTCTCACTCCTTGGAATGAATGTTCCTCCTTTCCTTACATTCACCACCCTGGTGATATGATCTAGGTGCCTTTAAGCCTGACGTGTGTGCTGATGAGTGTGAGACGCATGTCACCATGAGAGACCTTCCTGAACTCTTGCCTCATGTGTACATCTGCCTATTGCATACAGCGCCCCAGAAAGTCTGCGTATCAGTGGAACCTGCCGGGAACTGAACTGTCTCCCTCCCAGGGCCTGCCCCACTTTCAGTCTTTTTCTCAGTAAATTGCAATTCCATTTCCCCCAGCTGCCCAGGCCCTAAACTTTGTAGGCACTCTCAGGCCTCTATTTGTGTATGCGTGACACACAGCAAATCCTATTTTTTTTTTTAAGATTTTATTTATTTATTTGACAGCCAGAGATCACAAGTAGGCAGAAGGGCAGGCAGAGAGAGAGGAGGAAGCAGGGTCCCTGCTGAGCAGAGAGCACGATGCGGGGCTCGATTCCAGGACCCTGAGATCATGACCTGAGCCGAAGGCAGAGGCTTTAACCCACTGAGCCACCCAGGCGCCCCAGCAAATCCTTTTTATCTTTAGTTTTATCTTCAAATTTATCCAGATCCAAGTAAGTTTTACCACTTCCGCTATAACCATCATTTTCATGTGCATTGTTGCAACAGCACTGAACTGATCTTTCTTCACTGTTGACGCCTGCACAACTTTTTCTCAACATGACAGCATTTGCAAGTGTCATTTGGATCCCCTCAGGCCTCACCTTAACTGCAGGTTTACCTTGCCTTCCTCAGACTGAAGCACAAGCTATGAGAAAGTCCTCAAAGGCCCTCCTTTGGCCTTTGACCTCTGTGACCTGTCTAGGTGTCTCCTGGTCTCCTTCCCCCTGCCATCCTGTTCCACTGTCCTCCTGGCTTCCTATCTATTTCTGGAACATACTGGACACCCCCAGCCTTCCTGCAGAGCCATTTATGGCTGTTCCCTATCCTCCCACTTTTCTGCCTGGTCACCTCATAGTGAGGCTTCCCCTGAGCACCCATTTGAAATACACCTACTTCTGGAGTTCACCCGTCCCTCGGCCCTGCTTTATTTTTGCCTTCTAACATTCTAGATAGTTTCTTTGTTTTATTTACCTGTTTGCGGCTGTAAGTTCCGCCAGGGCCTGGATTCTCTCTTGTTTGGCTGTGCCTGTGCCTGGACATGGTTCATGCTCATAAGGACGATGGTGGTGGAAGGGCCTCCTATCAGCTGCCTGATGCTTCCTGAGGGCTCCCACCAGCTTACTCCATGGCCAGACGCCGCGGTTCCGGTTCCTTCCGCGTCGCCCTCCCCTCTACTAGACTGAACAGATAGGGCCTTTCATCTCTGCAGCCCTAGGCCAGCGACGGCCTGCGGAGGGGCACTCAGGGTGTGATTTGGACGAATGTGCAAGAGAAGTCAGTCCCTTTCCCCAAACCCACTGGGTTTCTCAAGGACCAGCAGCGATTCCCGCCAGTTCCACGCGATGGCACTGTCCCCTTCTGGCCGCTTCCAAAGCCTCCGCCGGCCCAGTCGTTCCGGGGGGCCTGGGCGGGGCTGCGGCCAGGGCCGGCAGGCAAGACCCTTTTGGAGGCTGCTGCACAGGTTTAGCGCGTCAGCAAGGTCCTGAGCAAGGCCTCCAGGGCATGGAGGGAGTCAGCGAGGCTGGCCGCGGGACTCCAGGCCCTCCTCCAAGGCCCGCCCCCGCCGTGCCCCACTCCCCGCTCCCCACCCGCATTCCCGCCGCCCCCACCCCCATCCCCCGCCGCCCCCCCCTTTTAAAAAGGGGGGCCTCCCCGCCTCCGCACCCCTCCCTCCCCGCCTCCCACCCGTCTCCTCGCCCCCTACCCGTCTCCTCGCCTCCGCGCCTCCCCGCCTCTGTCCTCTAGGTGCCGCCTCCCTCCAACCGTCCACGCTGTGCCTCTGCCCCGGCCTTGCCTGTCTCCCTGCCTCCGCCCTCTCGGTGCAGCCTCCCTCCCCGACGCCCCGCCCTGCGTGCCCCTTCATCTCCTTACCCTCCTCTACCCCCGGCGTTGGCGAACCCCCTGCCCTTCCCTCCCTTCCCTCCCGGTGCCATGCACCCCAGCCCTGACCTCCTGAGCTCTGCCTGCTGTCCGCAGAACTTTTCTCAGTTACTTAAAAACGTAATTAAAGTAAAGTGTAAAGTAAAGATACCAGAAATGCTGCCTCCTCCTTCTCCTCCTCCTCCCCAGCCGCGACCCTGGCCGGTGCCTTCCGGCTATTCTGACCCGGTGCTGGTGCTGCGGTGCGAGCGGTGTTCGGGGCAGTATTTGTGAAATGACTCGCTTTCGGTGGGGTTAGTTTTCACTTTCGGTGTATTTATCCCGTTTATTTTTCTTTCAATTCTCTTTTCTCTCCCCTTTCTCTTTTATTGTTATTTTTTAAAATTTGACTTGACACACACACAGCTGACACATGTTACATTAATTTTAGGTGTTCCCTACACCTTCTCTTTAAAACAAACCCTTTAGGGCGCCTGGGTGGTTCAGTGGGTTAAGCCGCTGCCTTCTGCTCAGGTCATGATCTCAGGGTCCTGGGATCAAGTCCCCCATCGGGCTCTCTGCTCAGCAGGAAGCCTGCTTTTCTCTCTCTCTCTCTCTCTCTCTGCCTACTTGTGATCTCTCTGTCAAATAAATAAATAAAATCTTTTTAAAAAATAAAATAAACCCTTTACCAAAGATTTCCCAAACTCCTGTCACACGTGTTCCAAATACCAGTATATATCGGATTCTGTGTCAAGTCCGGTGAGTCTGAGACGCCACCACCCCTGACCTGATGGAAGCCTGCTACCTGGCTTCACCGGAGGGAGGCTGAGCTCTGGGTCTCCTGCCCCATCCCTTCTCTGCACTGTGCCCAGATTTTCTAGCACCCGCAGTCACTGCTGAAGTACAAGGACATTCTGGTTCCTGATCCTTTTATATGTTGTTGTTGGTGTGTGTGTGTGTGTGTGTGTGTGTGTGTGTGTGTTTCCTTCCCATTCTAGAAAATAACAGGTTTTCTCTTAATCCTCGGTATCCTGGTATTTCACAATGATGTTCTTTGGTATGGGATTTTTTTTTTTCTTCTGTGGAACTTTTGTGCGTTATTTGAATTGACACAGTTGTGGTACTTGTCAGTGGAATATCCAGTTAGTGCATTTTTTTGGTATGCTTTCCTTTCTTTTTTCTATCTTTTGATCACTCCTGTTATTTGTAGATTGGACTCTCATATCTATTCTCTAAGTTGCTTATCTTTTTGATGTATCTCTGTCCTTTAGTTCCACTTTTTGGGTGACTTCCTCAAGTTCTGTCATGTAATCCTTCTCTTATTTCCTGCGTCTTGTTTTCTTGAATATATTTCTTTTCTCATGGCATACTTTTTAAATGGACACTATCTTTCTTACTTTGCTTTGAGGATATTTTACTTTATATATATATGTTTACCAGTTCTTCTCAGTCTTCCATGTGAGGGGATTTTCTCAATTGTCTGGCTCTTGACTGAGCAGTTTAAAGAGGAGGCACTAAATGGCCAGTTGGAAGCTGAGTGCCAGAAGGGGCTGGGGAAGGTGTGCTTCCCAGTGGGGTGATTGGGCTGGGTGTGCTCTTTCCAGGAGGGAAGGCCAAATGTTGGCGGTTGGAGATACTGTTTTTAGCTCTATTAAGTGTTTGCAGGGACAAATCCTTTGGTCTGTTGCTATAGCTATCCTGGGAGCTAGCAGGAGATATGGACAGGAATACTTTGGCTGATATGGCCCTTACTGATCCGCAGCACATCCCTTATTTCACACTTTGCTGTGCCAATTCCAACCTGGAGACACCTGGCCTCAGCTTTCCCAGAGAATGTGGTCCCCTGGAGGTAGGGCTCCAGTGGAGAAGAGGTTTGAGGAGTGTGTGAGGCAGGGGAGGGAAGTGTGCTCCTGGCTGCACAGAGCCTGGGATGTGAGACAAGGACTGCAGCTGGAACTGGGGAGCTGGTTGAAGCTTCTTCCACTCTCCTGGGCCATTCACTGACCCACTGCTCTTTGCAGCCTCCTGAGATTTTCCTGAAACTTCCTCTCTGCTTTGTCTCCTCTCTAGATATTGTTCTTTATGGCCTTCCACCTTTGGATTCCTTTATTTTTATATTAGTGAGGATTCAGGAAGACTAGGAATAGATGCCATGTTGTTAGCCATGCTAATCCTGTTCACTTCTGAGATTTCTGCTTGCTTATTTTCAGTCAGGCCTCCTGTCTTTGAGGTTCCTCCTTTAGGTGAGGAGGGGTCTGGATGTAGGGTCTTATCCAGTGGCTTGCTGGAGGATGGTGCTATCACAGGACAATGGGTCAGTGTCTGATGGGCCTGGGTTGCAGCCCTACTCTGTTGCTTACCAGTTGTGTGATCTTGAGGCAAGTTATTTAACCTCCTGGAGCCTCAGGTATTGTTTGTTTGTTTTTAATCACTGGTAATCAGTAGCTTATGTCCAATAGGAGAGTATCAGGGTAGCCAGCTTGGCAGGCTTGCTTAATCTCTTTCATGCATTCCCAGACCTGCTGGAGCTCAGGCCAAACCCAGTCCATGTGAGGCCTGCTGTCCAAGCAGACAACAGGCAGGCAAGGACCCTCAGAAGCCAAGTTCTGCGCTGGGGTAGGCCAAATGTAGCACATCTTTCTTGGGCATACCTTTCACTGATGCCATTTAAAATATAACTTTAAACTCGGGGCACCTGGGTGGCTCAGTGGGTTAAAGCCTTTGCCTTCGGCTCAGGTCATAATCCCAGTGTCCTGGGATCGAGCCCCACATCGGGCTCTCTGCTCTTCAGGGAGCCTGCTTCCTCCTCTCTCTCTCTCTGCCTGCCTCTCTGCCTACTTGTGATCTCTGTCTGTCAAATAAATAAATAAAATCTTTAAAAAAATATATAACTTTAAACTAAAAAATGGACACATTGTGGGATGGAATAGAAAATTAGCCCTCATTTAAGAAATAAAAGGGGAGTCTTCATTTAGATCATTACTTTGCACTAGATGCTTGAGATGCAAAACAAAGATCAGACTCTAGGCTCCTATGAAAGAATAATCACCAGAAATGTACCCTCTGCTTGTAAAAATTACATTAGTCAAGAACAGATGCCTAGCGAATGATTGCCCTGTAAGCTCTGTGCTGAGTGGTGGAGTTTCTGAGAGGAACAAGATGAATCTCTTGACATCTGAGGAACTAAACTCTAATTGGAGGTGGGAAACAATGCCAAGGTTAATTTATTTTGCCGGTAAATTGGGAAAGGTCTGGCTTAGCTCAGAAAGTCTCCTTGCCTTTAAGACATGCTTTGTTTCTCTTTCTCCTTCCCATTCACAGTGCTGGCCACCATCAACTTGCAGTCACACCATGAGCTGCAGTTATTAACCAACTTTCTCTTAAGTGTGCAGGTAAGTCTGGCCCAGGGGCAGCTGTTTGCTCTGCTTGGCATGCATATAGAAAGTCCTAGAGCTAAGTGGAGCCTCTGTCAGGAAGTGTACAGTGCTGTGAGGTACCTGCAGCTATACCCAGGGCTCTGGGAGAGAAGGACTCTGGGCTCACTCAGACTTTCACCTCACAGCCAACCTTCTGCACTGTGACTCTCAACCCCTGTCGCCCCTGTGTTGACATGCCCTCAGGTAGGGAAGCGCTGTAGGAGTGTAAGTGTTTCTCCAAGGTGGTGTTGTATAGACTGATGCATGGATGTGGTTTCTTGCCTCTTGAGAAAGGGGCCCTTTTTGGAGGCCTAGGCTTAGTGTGTTCACAGAGGCTCTGGTCTAGAATTCTGTGGACTCCATTAGCCCCAGATATGCTCATTTTGTGATTGAGGAGAGAAACTTTCCTGACCTATACTGTGTGTGTCTGACCTTAACCCGTAAGAGCCCCCTGAGCCTAGAAAAATCATTGTCATCAGAAAGATGGGAGGCCTGGGCCGTTCCAGGTCACAAAAGAGAGGAGTTTCTGAGTATAAGGTTCACATCCTTCAGGTTGATGGGAATTTATAGTTAAATCCTATTCTGATTGATTTCTCTTCCCTTGAGTTCACATGTCTCTCCTTAGGAGGCCAATGGGATCTGGCCATGGTAGTGGCAGCCCATTCACAGAGCTGGGGCCCCATTTCTCACTGTGTCTTACTGAAGGGTGTGAATGCCCCAAACTGTCACCACCTATTAGGTGTAGGCATTGATTCCCCGGGCCTACTGTGGAGCTATTGGAACATGAGTATCCCCCATAAATGCAGAGATGCTGGGGCTGTTCTCCATTCTACCTGTTCATTTCTTGGAGCAGAAGTAGGCCCAAAGGCACATCCATATGAAATCACCAGGGGAGTGTGAAGCTGTGGAGCATGAGGGCCACCTGTGTGTATGATGTGGCTACTACCTAAGTTTAGGAGGATAAGTGGAATGTGCAAGGACGGTGACCAGGAAGAGAAGAGATAGGATGGGACCTGATGCCAGGCAGACTTTGTTAGGCCAGTGAAGGGAGAGACAGTTTCTCCCAGAGGGCCCAGGTCTAGCCACTTTTCCCTTTCTTTTCTTCCTCCAGTGTTGACTGAGTGCCAGCTCTGTGTGTGGAATGTGTCTAGGCCCTGTTACCTTGTGGTGACTAAGATGGCAGGTCTTTGCCCTTATGGGGTTTGTGACCTACCTGGGGAGATAAACAAAAAGAAACAATTGCCCAGCAACTAAATAGGATCGTACTTGAGTGCTGTCTAAGGCAGGTATAGAACACTGAGCAGTCTCTGCCCACTGGATAGAGAGTGTCACCTCTCTGTGCTTCTCTTTCCTCTTCTATGAAGTGGGGATGATGATAGTACCTACTCATGGGGTTGTTTGAGGATCAAATGAAGTAATATTTGGAAAGCACCCAGGAAAGCAAGGTTTCATGTTGTTTCCTTTATGGTCATCCTTAGATAGGGTCCCCACACCTATGTACCCAGGCCGGGTCATCCTGCTGACAGACAGGCTCCATTAAACGGCCTTTCTGTCCGTAGTTCAGTGATGTCTGTTTTCGTCAAGAAAGGGGACTTCGATCAGAGTCTGCTTTGGATGATCAAACAGGACAGGCGCAGCTCTGCTAAACTTCGGGATGTCCAACAGCACCCCACTGCGCCCTCCTGTGCATGTCCGGTGATGGAGATAATTAACATGAGTGTTTCTTGAGTACTTTCCAAGTGCTAGGCACCATGTGCTAAAGGCTTTATGTGCATTATTTCATGTAATTCTCCCAGGAACCAGGTCAGCTGGCTACTGTGGTCATGGTTGTGTAGTTAAGGAGACAGATTTGAGAACAAAAAGAGCACCCAGTAAGTGGCACGTGAGGAGGCAGAGCACAGTCTGACTGAGGCAGAACTTCAGCTCTTAACCACAACATGCAAGGCAGTGACCTGGGCCACTGGTGGGCGCCCCAGTACTTGACCCTGGCACCCTCAAGTCAGGGAGCCCCCTCCTAGCTGTGGAGACTATTGACATGTGGCACAGAGAATCTACTTCTCCCTTAGGGACTTAAACATGGTACAGTGTATCCCCTTCTTGGGAGGTAGACAGCCACCAGCCTTGCTAAAAAAATTATTGTGACTACTTTGGCTTTTCCTCTGGCATGGTTGGTATCTCCTACTCAGCAGATAATAAATCTACCCCATGAGTCTGGACCAGATTTTGTTGCTCTGTATGTGTTGCCCTCTAAATGTAAGGCCATCACTAATGGAGAAAGTACTTGATGAATGAGGACAGCTCTGTGGTGCGGAACCTGAAACACCAGCATGTTAGTCCTTATATCTCCCCCCTGATGCTCTGGTGCTCCCGCAAACACAGCATAGTAACAGTACAGTGGAGCATGGTTCTGGGAATTGTTTCTACATCCCTGGGGCAACCCCGCACCAAAGGCAGTATTCTGAAGTAATATTAAGGACTTAATTGTTATCAAACATCCTAGCCAAGGTATGAAGCCAGATTCTGAGGCTGCAGGGCCTGTACCATGACTCACTGTGCTAAATAACTCCCTGATTTTCTTGTCCAGTTTTGTAAACTTATGTTTAAGCTAGACCTCAGAGAGGGGTCCACTCTACAGCCCTCTGACTCTTCCAGCTAAAGGGAAACAGCAGCTGAGGGGTCTGCGTCTCTGGGGTGCCTGTCAGAAATCCGGTTAGAACATTCTCTTTCCCTGAGAGAGGATAGGCAAAGTGTGGCTTGACCCAGAAAGCCATGTAGGAAAAGTCTTCCAGAGTACATGCTGCATTCTGATGCAGGCTTATATCCCTGTGTTCTCTTGCCAGCTCCGTATGTAACATTAAAACCACATTAAGGCATCAGGGTCTCCTGCACCAGCTTTGATAGTTCATTCCACTTTCTACCTGCAGTGTGGAGGCCACATGTGGAAGATAAGCTGGTGCAGATGCCTTTGGTCCTCACCTGTGCACTGCTTTTGATGGCTCTTACAGCAAGGAGTGTGTGGTCAGGGAAGATTTGGAAGGGTAGAAGGGCTGGGATTTCCCTGAAGGAAGAACTCCCCCTTGCCTCTTTTGGCCAGCTAACTTCTCATTTTGTGATGCCCAGAGGGTTCAGCCCAAGATGGTGATGGAGTACTGGACAGGGTGGTTTGACTCGTGGGGAGGCCCACACAACATCCTGGATTCTTCTGGTAAGTGCTTTGCGGTACCTAAACCCAGCATGTGTATTGACCTATGAAATAAAAATCAGTTCCAAATAACCTGCTAATTGATGTAAATGAGCTGTAGGGTACAAGACTCCTGGATTATCTGCATGTCATAATCAGCTGTTGATATTCCAGAGTCACATGTCCTGACATTTGATGTGAATGGTAGGACCCTTAACACTGCTTTATCATGTTTTTATAATTAGATAAGCAGTGCACGCCTATTGCAAACACCCAGCAAATACAGAAAATGTAGGAAGAAGAAATAAAAAGCCCAGAGCCCAGAGAAAACACATACAGTTGACTTTTGAACAATGCGGCAGGTAGTGGGGCTGACCCCCTGCACACTTGAAGTCTGGGTATAACTTTGACTCCTCCCAAACTTAACAACTAATAACCTACTATTGACCAGAGATCTACTGATAGCATATAATTGATTAACACATATTCTGTATGTTATCTGTATCATATACTGTATTGTTATGATAAAGCCAGCTAGAGAAAAGACAGGGTTATGAAGAAGATCATAAGAAAGAAAAAAATACTTTACGCTGTACTGTAAGAAATCATGCATAAGTGGAGCTGTGCAGCTCAAACCCGTGTCGTTTGAGGGTCAGTTGTATACTGTGCAGGCAGTTCTGTGTGTCTCTCTGCAGCCCTATATGCATGCACAGAGATATGGACACTTGCAGTCCTATCTGCTCTTTGTTACTTGCTTGTGCCCTGATGGACACAAATGAACAGCCTTCTAGGAGAGATTCCATCACCGTTTTAAAGAACAGAAAGAACCCTGTAGTATTGATGATTAAACCACAATTTATTTAGCCATTTTCTTATTGATGAACATTTAGGTTGTTTCCAGTGGTTTTTGTTAATTGAATGCCATTGCAGCGACCATGCTTGAACATCCAGTTTTGCATACCTGGCATATTAGTGCCCTAGGATAACCAATAGAATTCCTTAACCAGTGGAATGCTGCATTAATTCAATTTTGATATATATGTACCAAACTGCTCTTTCAGAAGACTACAGCAATTCTTACTATTATTAAATGAGAATACATATTTCCCACAGATTTATTGACACTGGTTATTAAAATAATTTTTAATATTTGTCAATCTAATTGCCTATATATGTGTGTGTGTGTGTGTGTGTGTATGTTAATACTGTATATTTCTCCTTTGATGTTATCGTTCACATTTTTGGTTAATTCTATAATAGAGGTGGGATTGGGGAGGTGGTCAGAAATTACAGCTGCAATTAGGAGTCCAGTCTTTTGCACCTTACCAAGTGTGAGTAATTGTTGACAAGTGTGGAGGTAGAAGGCTGCCATTGTTCAGACCATAGTCATTGGAGATTTGGCCATGGTGGAACAAACAACTAGAAGGCTTCAGCTCGGGGGCTTTGGTGTTTGCTGGCCCTTTTCTCTTCATACCCTTCATCTTCTGTGATTGCAGCTCTAGTGGAAGCTGAAGGACAGAGCTAGGGAGTTGAATTTGATGGGGTTGGGGGGAGATCAGGAAAGCTGAGATGTCAACAGGACTTGTGGCTCGTCCTAAACTTTGACTCGCTCTGCACATCCCCTTTCTCCCCTCCTCCTGCAGAGGTTCTAAAAACAGTGTCTGCCATCCTCCATGCTGGCTCCTCCATCAACCTCTACATGTTCCATGGAGGTACCAACTTTGGCTTCATAAATGGAGCCATGCACTTTCATGAATATAAATCTGATGTCACCAGCTATGGCAAGTATTCCCCAACACTGGCCCTTCGTGGAACACCCCACATTTGCATGTTTGGAGCTTTTTATGCAGAGTCCTTTAGGGGCAGTGTCTGGCACCTTTAATGGATTTGGTTCTACAGTGCCTGAGGAAAGGATGGTTTTGCTTGGATTATCAGTTTTAAACTTATAGAGCAGTAGGAGGTACTGAAGACCACTGACATGCCTATGAGCCTTTGGAAGTCACTGGAGGAAGGGAGAGGTACAGCCAGGGTGAGGGAAGGTCCTTTGATGAAGGTAGCCTCTTCTCCCTACTCAGGCCCTTGAAATGTGTGACCTCTGAATCCTTTAGGTTGACAGTCCCCTGAAGTCAGGCAAGATGCAGAAAATTGTGGGTCATGCCAGGCCATGGCACTGTTGGTGGTACTTCATAGTGTTTAGTACTTATTGTATTTGGACTCATGGCTCACACAACACAAAAGGGTTGTGCCTCCCAAATTGCTGGGGTGAGGACCCTGCTGCCGTACCCAGCTTCTCCTTTCTCTTTTTGCTGCTGTGGACACTGTTCTGTGACACAGGTGACTAGTGACAGCGTTCTGGTGTCTTGCAGACTATGATGCAGTGCTGACAGAGGCTGGGGATTACACAGCCAAGTACTTCAAGCTCCGAGGTTTTTTTGGCTCTATCTCAGGTACCCGGAAGACAGAAGACTCAAGCACCAACTTGGGCCCTTTTTGCTCTGAGACTCCCTAAAGAGTTAGTTCTTCACTACCCTACCTCAACCCCAGTTAACTTGTATGCAAGAATGTCCCTAGACAAGGACAGGCAAATTTGAGAGACTGTTTTCTTTATCATGGTCTGTGTGTCACCAGCTTCACCTTCCAATGGGTGTTAAGACTCCTGAGGATATGAGGAAGTCAAGTCCCCTGCACCCCCCCCACCCCTGTGGTGCTTTTCTAAGTGGGGCCAAGCAGTCTAAGAATGTTTCCCTCTTGGCTCTAGGATAAAGGAGCACATTGAACTGCGGAAAGGAGCCAGGGCCTGGGGAGGTTGGAGGTGGCAGTGATTTTGGGTCCTCTTGGGATGACCCTATTGTCTGTGTTGCAGGTGTCCCTCTTCCTCCCCAACCTGACCTTCTTCCCAAGACTGCGTATGAGCCTTTGAGACCATATTTATACCTGTCACTGTGGGACGCCCTGAAGTACATGGAGGAGGTGAGTGCCTTGGGGCAGGGAAGCTGGGACTGTCACTAGGTGGGCCAGTGGGACTGTGGAGGGAGAAAAACGAGTGCTTGATAGCTTTAAGGTCCACTCTGACTTTAGAGCTCAGAGGAAAGAGAATAAACTTGCGTTAGGGTATGGAGTGGAAAGGAACAAAAAGAACTTGAAGAAAAACTGGGTAATACAGTAGGTAGTAGTCTCTCTCCAGCCTTGGTGGACAGGGAGGAGGGTAAAGAGGCATGTGAATGGGCTGTATCCCCTCTGAGAAGAGGGTGCACCCCTGGAGCTGACCCAATGGAGTGCAGTGATGTAGAAATGAAGGCAGGTTGAAAGGCTACAGGTCTGGTACATTTCCAGGCTTTGTTCTATTGTTATCATACATCTGCCATCCCTTTGATCCTGGACAGCCATAGGGCTAATGAGATGAGAAGTCAAAAATCAGAATTTTGGAGCTTGGAGAGCCTATCAGCTGGATTGGCTCTCCATGTTTGTATAGTGAGAGGTCAAACTAGAAGAAAAGGTTAGAGGGCCTCTTCCCCCAACCCCCTAGTCCCAGGTGGGGATCTGTCTGCTACCCTGCACTCCCCCAGAAGTCTCTTTTCTCCTCTGCCTAGCCTTATCTCCCCATATTCTCCTCTATGCAGCCAGTCAATTCTGAAAAACCAGTCAATATGGAAAACCTGCCAGTAAATAATGGAAATGGACAGTCCTTTGGGTACACTCTGTATGAGACCACCATTGCTTCATCGGGCATCCTTAGTGGTCTTGTGCGTGACCGGGGACAGGTAGGGGTGATTTCTCTTTTTTAAAAAAAATATTTAAATTCAAATTAACTAATATACACTGCATTATTAGTTTCAGAGGTGAAATTTAGTGATTCATCAGTTGCATGTAACACCCAGTGCTCATATATTCACGTGCCCTCCTTAATGTCCACCACGCAGTTACCCTATCCTTCCACCCACCTTCCCTCCATCAACCCTCTGTTTGTTTCCTATAGTTCAGAGTGTCTTATGGCTTGTCTCCCTCTCTGTTTTCATCTTACTTTATTTTTCTTTCCTTTCCTTTATGTTCATCTGTTTTGTTTCTTAAATTCCACATGAGGGAAATCATATGGTATTTGTCTTTCTCTGACTGACTTATGTTGCTTAGCATAGTACACTCTAGCTCCATCCACATTGATGCAAATGGGAAGATTTCATTCTTTTTGATGGTTGAGTCATATTTTATTGTGTGTATATATATATACCACAACTTCTTTATCCACTCATCTGTCAATGGACAACTGGGCTCTTTCCATAGTTTGGCTATTGTGGACATTGCTGCTATAAACATTGGAGTGCATGTGCCCCTTCAAATCACTATGTTTATATCCTTTGGATAAATACTTAGTAGTACAATTGCTGGGTCATAGGGTAGTTCTATTTTTAACTTTTTGAGGATCCTCCATACTGTTTTCCAGAGAGGCTGCACCAGTTTACATCCCCCCGTTCTCCGCATCCTCACCAACATCTGTTGTTTCCTGACTTGTTAATTTTAGCCATTCTGGTCACTGTAAGGTGGTGTCTCATTGTGGTTATATGCATTTTTTCATGTGTCTGTTGGCCATTTGTGTGTCTTCTTTGGAGAAATGTCTGTTCATATCTTCTGCCCATTTCTTGACCAGATTTTTTTGTTTTTTTGGGTGTTGAATTTTTTTAAAAATTTTTATTTATTTTTAAAATTTCTTTTCAGTGTTCCAGAATTCATTGCTTATGCACCACACCCAGTGCTCCATGCAATACATGCCCTTCATAATACCGACTACCAGGCTCACCCAATCTCCCATCCCCCGCCCCTCCAAAACCCTCAGAGTTTTGTGCAGAGTCCACAGTCTCTCATGGTTCGTCTCCCCCTCCAATTTCCCCCAACTCCCTTCTCCTCTCCATCTCTTGGGTGTTGAATTTAATAACTTCTTTATAGATTTTGAATACTAGCCCTTTATCTGAGAAGACATTTGCAAATATCTTCTCCCATTCCATAGTTACCTTTTAGTTTTGTTGACTTTTTGCTGTGCAAAAGCTTTTTATCTTGATGAAGTCTCAATAGTTCATTTTTGCTTTTGTTTCTCTTGCTTTTGGAGATGTGTCTAGCAAGAAGTTGCTGTGGCCAAGGTCAAGAGATTGTTGCCTGTGTTTTCCTCTAGGATTTTGATGGATTCTTGTCTTATATTAGGTCTTTCATCCATTTTGAATTTATTTTTGTGTATGTTGTAAGAAAGTGGTCCACTTTCATTCTGCATCTGGCTGTCGCATTTTCCCAACCCTGCTTACTGAAGAGACTGTCTTTTTTCTGTTGGATATTCTTTCCTGCTTTGTCAAAGATTAGTTGACCATAGAGTTGAGGGTCCAATTCTGGGTTCTCTATTCTGTTCCATTGATCTATGTGTCTGTTTTTGTGCCAGTACCATACTGTCTTGGTGATTATAGCTTTGTAATAAAGCTTAAAGCATGGAATTGTGATGCCCCAGCTTTGATTTTCTTTTTCAACATTACTTTGGCTATTTAGGATTGTTTCGGATTCCATACAAGTTTTAGGATTGTTTGTTCCAGCTCTGTGAAAAATGTTGATGGTGTTTTGATAGGGATTATATTGCTTTAAGTAGCATGTGCATTTTAAGAATATTTGTTCTTCTAAGCCATGAACATTGAATGTTTTTCCATTTCTTTGTGTCTTCCTCAATTTCTTTCATAAGTGTTCTATAGTTTTCAGAGTATAGATCCTTTATGTCTTTGGTTAGGTTTATTCCTAGATATCTTATTTTTGGTGCTATTGTAAATGGGATCAATTCCTTAATTTCTCTTTCTTCTGCCTCACTGTTAGTGTACAGAAATGCAACTGAACTCTGTGCATTTGTTTTATATCTTGCTACTTTGCTGAATTCCTGTATCAGTTCCAGCAATTTTGGGGTAGAGTCTTTTGGGTTCTCTACATAGAATATCATGTCATCTGTGAAGAGTGAAAGTTTGACTTCTTAGCTGATTTGGATGCCTTTTATTTCTTTTTGTTCTTTGATTGCTGAGGCTAGGACTTCTAGTACTATGTTAAGCAACAGTAGTGAGAGTGGACATACCTGTCATGTTCCTAACCTTAGGGGAAGAGCTCTCAGTTTTTCCCCATTGAGAATGATATTCACTATGGGTTTTTCATATATGGCTTTTATGCATATATGTTCCCTCTATCCCTACAGTGTAGAGAGTTTTAATCAAGAAAGGATGCTGTATTTTATCAGATGCTTTTCCTGAATCATTTGAGAGGATCATATGGTTGTTGTCCTTTCTTTCATTAATATGATGTATCACATTGATTAATTTGTGGATGTTGAACCATCCTTAAAGCCCAGGAATAAATCCCACTTGGTTGTGGTGAATAATCCTTTGAATGTACTGTTGGATCCTATTAGCTAGTATCTTGGTGAGAATTTTTTTTTTATTCATGTTCATCATTGGTCTGTAATTCTCCTTTTTGGTGGGGTCTTTTTTGGTTTTGGAATCAAGGTAAGGCTGACCTCATAGAATGAGTTCAGAAAGTTTCCTTCCATTTCTATTTTTGAAACAGTTTCAGAAGAATAGGTATTAATCGGTATTAATTCTTTAAATATTTGGAAGAATTCCACTGGGAAGCCATCTGGCCATGGACTCTTGTTTGTTGGGAGATACTGATTCAATTTCTTTGCTGGTTATGGATCTGTTTAGGTTTTTACTTCTTCCTGGTTCACTTCCTAGGTCACTAGGAATGCATCCGTTTTGTCCAGATTGTCTAATTTGTTGGCATATAGTTGCTCATAATATGTTCTTAAAATTGTTTATATTTCTTTGGTGTTGGTTGTGATCACCCTTCTTTCATTCACGATTTTATTTATTTGGGTCCTTTCTCTTTTATTTTTGATAAATCTCACTAGGGGTTTATTGGTCTTACTGATTCTTTCAAAAAACCAGCTCCTAGTTTCCTTGGTCTATTCTACTATTTTTTTTTTAAATTCTATACCATTAAATTCTCCTCTAATCTTGGGGCATCTTCTCTTATTTCCTGTGACTTTGTAGTCATCAAGCCCTACCAAATGCATCTGACTCTCTCTCCTCACATATCTGCCTGTTACTAGAAATGGCCCATCACCATCAGCTCTGCCATCCTTTTCAGCTATAATCATGGGCATTCATTTTTCTTCTGTGCTTGGCTAACCCCTGTTTCCACTGCACACACATAGTGTTACCCCTTTCCTTGCTTGTCAGAGATCCCTCCTAAGCCTCCCTTCTGTTGACACATGAATGCTTTCTGTCTGTTCATTTGCAGGTATTTGTGAACACAGTGTCTGTAGGATTCTTGGACTATGAAAGGAAGAAGATTGTTATTCCCTTGATCCAGGTTTGTTATCCTGGGGAGCTGGGTGATGGCTAGCACCAGCTGCTTCCTGAGCAGGTTTGGTGGGAGTCAAAGAGGAAGACTTGGAAGTCAGGAGGCTCCTTAACCACAGAGCTGCTGATGGAAAGAGGGGCAAAACATTGCTTTCTGATCAGTGGGTACTCTTTCATCCCCAGAGTTCAGGGAAGAGCTGGGGTTCCACAAAGAGACTCTGAGGTGCAGCTGTGATCTTATGGTTGGGTAATCAGGTGGTCATTATCGACCACTATGTTCCTGGCAGGGTTACACCAGGCTGCGGATCTTGGTGGAGAATCGCGGGCGAGTCAACTACGGGAATAACATTGATGACCAGCGCAAAGGTGGGTCATAGCATGTGCTGAGAGAAAAGCTTCTAGTCCTCAGCAATGCCTCACTATCTCTTCTTCAAACCAGTGCACCAGCTAATGATGGAGGCTGACTGTAGTGAGGTGGAGTCATGGTGGCCCATTGGAGGGAATTGGGTTGTGGAAACCCATTGAAGGGAGGTGGGTCATGGAGACCCACTGGAGAAGATTTGTGGAGGCCCATTGGAGGGAGGCAGATAATGGAAACCCACTGGAGGGGGTGGGTTATGGAGACCCACTGGAGAGAGGTAGGTTGCAGAGGTCCATTGGAGGGAGCTAACTCATTGAAGCCCATGGGATGGAGTTAACTCACGGAAACCCACTGGAGAGAGGGGAAGTGGGCCTTCTTAAAAGACCCATGTGCGTTCTGACCTCTTCCTTATGCATGTTGTTCACATGTCCATGGTGAACACACAGGGAACACTGAGCAAGCCTCTCCAGACCTCCCTGGGTTGTAGTCTGCTTTAGCAGGGGACTATCTGCTGGGGCTGGGCTAGGGGTGGTGAAGCTTAAGCAAGGGGATTCCCAGGAAGCCAAAAATGGCATAGGACCCCTGCCTTCTTGGGTCTCCATACTGAGTTTTTCTTTTCCTTATTTTTTTTTTTTTAGAGTTTTTATGTATTTATTTTAGAAGGAGAGAGAGAGAAAGAACATTCGCACATGTGAGTGGGAGGAGGGGAAGAGAGGGAGGGAAAGGGAGAGAATCTCAAGCAGACTCTGTGCTGAGCATGGAGCCTGACCCGGGGCTTTATCTCACAACCCCGAGAATATGACATGAGCTGAAACCAACAGTTGGACGCTTAACTGACTGAGCCACTCAGGTGCCCCAGAATTTCTTTTCTTGACCCATTGTGGAAACCCATTGATGATCTCATTTGTGGTGGGGAGGAGGTGGTAGTACATACAGTAAACAAAATGCTCTTGATGGAGTGCTCCCCTAGGAATATTCCAACTCATTTTATTTTTCCTGGTCTTCTAAACCTTCTCTGCTTAAGTTTGCCTCTTCCTTTTCATCTGTGGGGTTTTCTTGGGTCCTGGGGTTTGGCTCTCTCCAGATAGGTTTCATGGTAGCTTCTAGCACTGTCCAGGCTTACCTTCCTTTTCCCCTAAACAATCCCCCAGTGTTCCTCTCTGGATCTTCACTTCTTCTCCTAAGGCTCCATCTCCAGGCCTATCTTCACTTCCTTCATTCTCCTGTCTGTGGGAAGGGATTGCCAGCCTTACCCTGCTCTCAGTCTTTGCCTCCCCACGTTCCTGAATAAGATATGCTCTGGACTCTCACTATGGAGTACTTATCCCTTGGAACAGTTCAGTGTTTATAAGTTACGGACCCCCCACCATCCATGCCTGTACCTGCAACTTAAGATTCTTCAGGCTCCATGAGACCTGTTTGCACTCCCCAGCCTATTCAAATTACCTCTCAAGAAACTCAATGGCTCCATGATTGTGAGGACCATGGGAGCTGCTCCAGGACTAACATTGCTGGCCCCTTCCCCAAGCCACTAGCTAATGACTATGCAAGTGTGTGTGTGGATCCTTAGACTCAGATACGCAAGTCATGTTGCCATCTGTTCACAATTTAAATATTTAATTTATCCTCAGTCCTAGGTCATGTAGAAGATTTTTGGCTGAGTTATTAGATCTGTTTAGTCTGGGACCCTACTGAATCTGACCTTGAAGCTAAGTTAGAACTGTTGTGACCTCTTGATTATCTGCCCTTTGGGCCTCATTTTATTGTGTTGAAATTCTTATCCCCAAATGGGAGCTTCCCCTTCAGAGAGAGACTAGAGATTGTTCTCACCCAGTGATGGTCTCTGCTCTCACTACCCTTGGAATTATTCTTCTGTGCAAATCCTTGGGAGGTCCTGACAAATGCTGCTTTTTACTCATTCTTTTCTCCTTTGGGATTCCTAGAGAAGGTTTTATGCCATATGAAGAGCTCTGTAGAGAGTATATACTTCTGGAGGAATCCCAACTGGAACTTTTCAGAAATTCTCCATGTATGTGCAGGGCCTTAGCTGGGTCAGTTGTGCCCCTGCCTTTGACCTCATTCATGTTTCCTTGCCTCCTTCCCACAGGTTTAATTGGAAATATCTATCTGAATGATTCTCCCCTGAAAAAATTCAGAATCTACAGCCTGGATATGAAAAAGAGCTTCTTTCAGAGGTGAGTCCCCACCCCATGAAGTGTGTGAAGCCATGGATAATGTGCAGTAAGAGCCAGGAAGTCCTGGAGAACTGCTCTGCCCTAGACCCTCCCACTCAAGTGTAAACAGACCCAGAGCCCAGAGCAACTTGCCCAAGGTAGGGGCAGTACCAGTGCTAGAGACTAGGAAATTTCTGTGGTACCTTAGTTAATTAACAGGTTGGGGGTGGGATTTGGAATGCCTTTATAATTAGATTTGGGACAGAGTCCAAATTTGAGAAAGTGTCCTCTTTTCTTTCTTGTCTTCCATTCTATTCATAGGTTCAGCGTTGACAAGTGGAGCCCTATCCCTGAAGTACCTACGTTCCCTGCTTTCTTTTTGGGTGCCTTGTCAATTTCCCTTTCCCCTTTTGACACCTTCATGAAGCTGGAGGTTTGTATCTCCTCCCTGCCTGGGTTCTCCAGTCTTCCCTCAGAGAGCTCTGAACCCAAGCCCTGTACCTGCTCTTGCTGGAGCCCTCTATACCACCTGCACCCAGAGATTCTCTGTGTTGGCCTCTCTGAAGGGCCTCTGGGGCCTTCCTTGGGTGGGGGAGTGGACTCAGAGCAGAAGAACCACCGGGTGGTACTTCTCAGGGTCCAGGTGTGCACTTGGGTACCTTGCTGAGGAGGCTCAAAGCTAGTGGATTCGGGAGATAGAATACCCATGTGTTAACCTCATGAGTGTTGAAATATTCATTCACACTGATATCTTAGAAGCTGAGAGAAGCGTATGGCATGTGTCCATCTCTGTCTTCCCATGTGACTTTATATTTGGTGGCTTTTGTGGTCAACTAATCCTTTTCCCATTCTGCTTAAAGGGCTGGGAGAAGGGGGTTGTATTCATCAATGGCCAAAACCTTGGACGCTACTGGAACATTGGACCCCAGGAGACCCTCTACCTCCCAGGTGCTTGGTTGGACCAAGGCAGCAACCAGGTGGGAGCACTTGCAACTTCTTCCCTCGTCTCAGCCCTCCCCAGTATCACAGTGTTTTCCCAGGGAGGCCCAGATCACAGTCTGTTTAGGCTTGTTAGGGTGGGAGAGGGAACAGAAGGTTTAGCCAGCCCCTTCTGCATTCCTCCTTGGTACCAACCAGTTGTGGGTCCCTATTCCTTCCAGCGTGGTTCTCAGTCCCTTCCCCTAAGGCACTGTCATCTGGCTCCAAGACAAACCTCTGCTGCTGTCATATACCAGCACTTTTTTCCCCTCCAGGTTATTGTTTTCGAGGAGAAGATGGCAGGCCCTGTGATACAGTTCACTGACACACCCCACCTAGGCAGGAGCCAGTACCTTGAATGAGCAGCACTGCCCCGCGCCCCCTGGTGGTGGGAAGCAGGAGAGCACCACCATCCTCCCAGCTGGCCAGAGCCTGGTGCTCTGCTGCCTCACACCCACCCATGCAGGAGAGTTTCCTGAAGTAGCATCCTCAGGCAGCCACATGTTCAGCAGGGTCCACTAGTTCAGTTCAAGACCTTAAACTTTGAAGAACTGAAGAAGAAAAGTGGGATAGGAAGGAGGGACCTACTTCTTACCTAAGTGGCTTCTTGGCTGGGCTTTGTTGATGGGACGTTCCCTACTTCCCTTCTCTTCTGGGAGAGGACAGAGGGATGCCTCTCTAGGGAGAAATGTCTAATCAGATGTCCACGTGATGACACCTGGGGCCTTCAGTTGGGCATGCCTTCTAGACACAGATTTGCTCCTATGATGTTCTCACCTGTGCTTAGCCACACCCCTCCTGGACCTTTTCATCTGAAAGAGAAGATTTGTCACCATCTGCAGAGGATAGGGAAGCAGGTGGATGTGTCGCCTGAATCAACTTTGTTCTTCTCAACGCTCCAAGTCTTCTCTGGGGTTCTGGAAGAAACTTCGTTTGAGAGACACACACTTTTTCTCCTTCTCATTTCTACTCTAATTGCATCTGACAGGATGACAAGCCAAACTTAGGAGAAACAGAAATACTCAGCTACTTACCTTCCTGAATTAGAAGGTCTTTCCAGTTTTACTCAGTGAGAAGAAGCATCACCTGACGAGGGAATGCAGAGCCTAGTAGGAACCACACCCTGATCTAAAGGCCCAGATCCAGGGGCATGGGCAGGTAGTCTCCCTGGAATGTTGCTGTAGCCACGGGGCCTGCAGGCCTAACCCAGATCTTGCCTCCAGCTCAGTCTCGCTCCTTCTACTTCCTGTAACTTAAGCAGCAGGGAGGAGAGGCAGCCTTCCTTTGCAATTGTCTGTCCAAATTTGAGGCGCTTGTTCTAGGGATCGAATCCATTGGGTTAGCTCAGGTTCACTGTTCTGAATTGCAATAAAGCAGAATTCAATCAAACCCCTTTTGGTGATACTTTTTTGGTCCTGTGCCCCTGTTTATCACTGGCAAAGGCCTTGTAGGGTCAGGCACCTATCTATCCCAACTGGCCCTCAGAGTCTTGACACTGACTTACCCGGTTAGTGGATGATCCAGTCCCTGGTTCCTTACCACCTCCCTTCTGACCTTCATTCTGCCTGAAATGTCACTGTGGATTGGAAGTGCCATTGGGGAGGAGAAGTCATTGGCCAGAAGCCATTCTGGTACTGCTGGGCAGGTGGTAAGAATCTGCTGGACAGCCAAGAGCTCTCCATTAGTGGGTGAGTTAGCAGGTGAGTTTTCCTCATGTGTCACATCTGTATTGTACTGCCACTGGATTATCTTCAATAGTAATCAAAGTTAGAAAGCCAACACCTCCTTGGGATGGTGCCTGTGCCAGGAGCCCATAAAGACCTTTGGGGACTAGGAGGCCATGAGGTTCCCAGCAGCCCCATGGCTCACATCTTGGGCTTGGCTAAGGAAGGGGGCATTTGTGAAGCACAGCCACTGGTAAAGTCCCCAGTCTTGCGCCGCAAACTCATCTGCTATTCCTGAATTGCCTTGGAACAGAAAGCACAAAGCTAACATGTAGATAAGACCAGGGCTTGGGCACGGCCAACACTGGGGAGCAGTGTCATTGTGCCTTACCTTACACCTGAGCATGATTTTACAAAGATGTATGTAAAAGTTGGCTTCTCTTGGAAAATGTGATAGGGAACTGGTATTTAAATGAATCTTACTGTGATCCTTTTGTAAAGTGAAGAATCCCCTTGAATTGCTTTTATCCAAATCTGTGCAGGGCTGCCTTGCTCCTCTTGCACCAACTTACTGTTCTTGACCTTCTTATCTGTCAGCTAGCCCTGCAACTTCTATCAGAGCCTCTTGGCAGAACTCATCTTCCAGTGTTTATTCATGGTCTGTCCAGGCCTTCCCTACTGGATGGCCTCATCATAGGGTCTTTAGAAGAGTCCTCATAACCCCTACCTCTAAATGCTGAAGGTCTCCAGGCCCGCTCCTTGGGCCTTTACTTCCTTCTGTCCACACTCACTGTGGATGGCCTCGCTGACTGGTGGTTTGTAAACAGCCTCAACATTCACGCTCTCTGATGTTTATCTCCAGGCTCACTCAGTGTCCACTTACCTTCTCTCCTGCGCGTGACACCAAACTCCCATGCCTCTTCCGGGATCCCTCCTGCACTCCGCCTGGTAGCAGGAAATGGGCAGTTCTATACTGTGTCTCAAATTAGTTTTGGCTCCTCTCTTTCATATGGCACAGCCATGCCATCAGCTGCTTCTTCTGGCTGTACCTCAAACAGGTCCAGAACCTGACCACTTCTCATTGCCGCAAGGTTTGCTCTTCTGACTCACCATCACCTCCTGCCTGGATCACAGCATTGGCTGCCTCCCCTAGACTGCCCTGCCCTCTGTGATTTCTTTACAGGTCAGTTAGATCATGTTGGCCCTTTGCTCCAAACCCTCCAATAGCTCCAGTTACCTTTTCACTTGGGGGAGAAGCCAAAAGCTTTGCCCTCGTTCCCAGGGCCAACATATTCTGCATCCTCCATCAACTGCGTCCATCCCACCTCCCATCCTACCCCTTCCCACCTTGCCAGTCAGTTGCAGGCACACTGGCCTTTTTGCCGATCTTCAAACATGCTAAGTACTCTCCCCATGGGAGCAAGTTCTCTTTTCCAGAAAGCTCTGACCCAGGTAAGTGCCTGTCTGCACACTGCAGCTCTCCTCTGTCCCCTTATCAGGGAGGCTCTTCTGATGGCCCTGGAGAGAAGATCAGCTCCTCCTCAGCTACACTCTGACACCCCCATCTGGCCTCATACTTCTCCTTAGACCAGATCACATCTGAAATACTGTCAGTTTGCCTAGTGTCCATCTGTCTTGTTTCCCAAGGAGGGAAGCACCATGAAGACAAGTGCTCTGGTTTTTCACTGCTCTGTACTAGATCCTAGAATAATGCCTTCCAAATAAATACTTGTTGGATAGTTAAGACAGTTTCTGAGAATAAAGTAAGGCAGGGCTGCAGAAGATTAGGGCTGTTAAAAACCATGTTTGACTTTTAATTTTGGAAACAAATTAAATACAGTTAAATTAAAACAGACCAGATGGTGCAGCTGCATGGGCTCTGCCCTCCCCCCCAGGCTCTGTTCTCGGGGCTCTGAGCCCCCAGCCTCACTCCTTTGTGGTGGGGAGCAGGAACAGACTGGGTCTGGGAAACAAATTGTTGTCATGGACCCAGCTCTGATTTGGAAAAAACTCATTCCCAACAAAGATGAAAGCTGCAGTCCACCAGGATTATAATTATAAATAAATACACATGCAGCTAAGAGAGAGGTTATTAGGTGGAAACAACAGAAATAGCATCTGCCAAAAAACAAAAACAAAAACAGAGAGAGGATATCCCATTTTGTTGTTCATTATCAATTTCCTGAAAAATGAGCCCTGGGTTTTTGGCTAAGAAGGTGGCCTACCAGCCAGGCTGACCTGAGCATTCAGGGCTGGTTTTGGTGAGTGAGGCAGTGCCGTGCCTGGGCATAAATTCACTCGTTTGGTGGGTGCCCTGTGCACACCTCCTCCCTTCCCTCCTGCACCACCCCACTTGGCTCTGAGGGGTTGATTCCAGAGCCGCCATCGAAAGTCTAAGAGGCTGGGGAACGTCTTGCAAGGTGTCTCAGGGTTCTCACAGACAGGATTCCACTGGATGGTTTCACGAATGCTGTGGGCAGTTAAATCCATTTCAAAATCGGCAGCCAATGCTATTTTTTGAATGTTAGGTTGCTGGACTGAATCCTACCCACCCACCCAGGAGTGGGTTCTCAGCAGTCCTTAGACTGGTCCTGTGAGTTTAAACGGGGCATGGGGGCTGTTAGCGTTAAAAAATAAACACCTCTTCAGTAGGCTCAGGCCTTTCCCTTTCCTCCACTTGGGAGGAAAATTGTGCTTCCAACTTTCAGGAGCATGAGTGAGAGAATCAGAAGAGGCCTGTCCCTGTCAGGGGCCTCTCCTGGTGCAGGGGGCAACACATGCACACTGTTCTTTCTCTTGGGGGTGGGTGACTGGGGAGAGAGGAGGACAAGCAGCAGGCTTGTTCCTCATGCTCTCAACTTAGGGACAAGGGAGGTTTTCGTTCCCATTATGTGTTTAAAATAGAATGATTTTCCAAAGTAGTGTGTGCTCAGGTTTCCTTTCCCCTCAGGGTCCAGATGATCTCTGCCCCTTTGCCACAAATCCTTCTGTTAACCCAAAGCCCTTACCCCTCCCCCCCCCCCCTCCCAACCAGAGGCAGGAAGGAATATGGAACTGCCCCTACTTCCCTCTTCTTTCCACCTTGTCCACCCCTGGTTCACTTTAGCCCCTGAGGTCTGTGGTTCTCAAGAGCTCCAGAAAGAGGGCTCCTAACCTCCCCAGTCCCAGCCCAGGCGAGGGGCCCTGGAGCCCAGTGGACAGTGCGGAGGCAGTGTCTAGACAGGGGCCTGCATGGTCTTAGTCCAGGTCAGTCCATGACCTGTGCTGGCTCAAGGGCCCACCTCCTTCTCTGTACTGGAAGGAGTAGGCTTGGAGATGTGGGGCCAGAGTAAGGGGCTCCACTCCTACCACAGCCTGAGGTATGGGGGAGCCTGATGGCAGGCTCAGGTTCCCCTCATGCAGGGTGGTCACCAGTTGGGATCAAAGACAGACTTATGCTCTGGAAATGAGAACCAGAGGAAAGCCAGAGAGGTATGTCTACTTGAGAGCAGCTCTCTGAGGAGGGGAGGGGGTGTTCCTGATGCCTAGGCAGGGGGCTGCTCTCTAGTCTTCAGAATTCCCTGGCCAGATGGCCTGTGTGGTCGTGCTGGGCCCCAGGAGCAGGGAGCCAGGGAAGGCCACACTGCACTTGACAGCCGGGGTCTTTTCACCTCTCTCCAGCCTGGCCTCACTCCAGGGCTTCAGTGCCCACTGAGTCTGCTCCCGCAGGCCCTGTCAGTGCAGGAAGCTCTGGGGAGGCATGCTGGGGCACTGGTTCGCTAGCTGGCATGGCTTGGCTAGCAGCTGGGCCCCTGGTCATGCTAGATGGAAGAGAACAACAGGTCTGGGATTTCTGTGCTTTAGGTTCTCCGTCCTTTGTCCTGGCATCGAGCTGGGCTCTCTCTGAAGCTCCCAGAATAGAAAGTAGAATGATGGTGATTCCTTAGGAGTTTGCCTCGGAGGGACCATCAGCCATGGGGAGAGGATGGGAGGCCAGGCACAGGATCTGAGAAGGAAGCTCCTGTGAAGGGGAGAGGAGGAATATGGGTGAGGCATGATGTGGGGAGGCAGTTGAGGGGCAGCCGTTCTGGCCAAACTGCCTAATCCTGAGCCCCCATCAGAGTTCACCCAGGAGCTCTGCAAAGCCCAACCCTCAGGGTCCTCTGTGGATCCCTTATTGAGAGGCAGGTGGGTTCTTTTGGTGAGCAGGTGAGGAGGCAGGGAACAGGGCTTTGGACTGATGCATTTTCAGCTGCATTGGTCAAGCTGATTTTTTGGTTCGGGGCACAAAGCAGGCAGACTGACACCCTGAGGTCTGTGGGCAGGGCAGTTGTGAACATGATAGGAAAGCTGAAGCTTAACTCTGGAGCCAGAGGACAGAGGTGTATCCCGCTGTCTGAGCTCTCACCTCTGTAATGACATAGAAAAGCCCACAGAAACTTCCTGACTTGGACAATCAGCTGGCACAATTCACTTCATGTAGCTTTTCTGAACACCGTTTCTTAACCTCTAAAATATAGATAGATCCTGTGACCTACTTCCATAGAAAGTTTTAAAGAATCAAATAAAAACAGCAATACCTATATAAGACTCCTTGGGTACCAAAGATTGTTTCTGGTGCTCCCCAAAACCCATTTTACAGATCAAAAAACAGACTAAGAAAAAGTAAGTTAAGTCAAAGGGTGAGAAGTGGTAGGCCTGGAGGCTGAACCAGGCTCTAGGGTCCCTGCTTTCAACCTAGCACCACACGGTTACTACTAGGAGACACATGGATGTGCTTGATGAGGTAGAGGCAGGGAGCAAGGCGTCCCTGTCACAGAAGCATGGCTGAAGACCACAGGGGAAGACAGAGCCTCGGAGAAAGAGTCTACATAGCACCACCCTGCAACAGGACTGGAGTTGTGGCCAAGATAATAGCAGTAATGACAGGAGGTTGTCATGAGGCCATGTCTAGAAGGTGAGGCCTTCAAAGGAGCTGGTGGCAGAAGGACCCAGCTGTGTGATGGAAGTTGGTTCTTATTAACTTCCAGGTGGCACAATGGGATGAGGACTTCAGCTATGCCCCCTCCGCCCTTGCCCCCTTTTGCCCTGTCCTCCCACAATTAAAAACCGAGAGGAAAATCCTCTGCAGATTTATTCTGCATCCAAACTTGATGTGCATCGAGTGTGTGGTTTACCCTCATCCCTGCCATACCTGTATCCTGGGGCTCAGATCTCCACAGCAGGGTCAGTGAAGCCCTTTTTCCCCTCATTCACCAGCACTGGCTTCTCTGTCCGTGTGTGCCAGACCAGGATCTGTGTGTCCAGAGACATGAAACAACATGGGGCAGGCCCCCGTGACCTCAGCCCACCACCTCCCTGCTCACTCCCACGCTTTGTGAGTACTTTTCCTGCCCCTCCTGTTCTGACCTCGTTCCATCAAGATTTTCTCTATTGTTATTCCCATTTACCTCCCCCACCCCCACATTCTTGCTGTTTGTACATATGATGCATTCAAAATATCTGTTGGAAACAAAAGGTGTATAGCTACATAAAACAGATCAGTTCCAAAATCTCTTGCTTTTTGTCTTCCCCTGTATTTCTTCATAGGTCTCTCCAGAGAGGGAAGAATTTCTTCAGGAGGCTTTGGATCAAACTAGTGATAGTTTAGGGCCTAGCTGGAGAATTCCAAACCAGAAGCAGCGTGTGCCTGTCCACGTGCATGCATGCATGTGTGCGCCCATGCATGTGTGTGCATGTACCAGGCAGGCACGTGTTCGTACATATGTGCACACACGTCCGGCAGGGCAGTTGTGGAGCTTTGCTGTGTGGAGGTTTGGGAGGAAAGGCAACCCTTGGCCCTGCTCACTGACCACCACCCTCTTTATTTCCCTGCTTGACTTTGGTGTGACAGCCTTGGATGCGATAAACTACCTTCCTAGGAGGGTGTTCTAGGAAGGCATGGCTCTAGGCTGGTCCTTTGCAGGGCTGATTTGAGGTCTTTATTTCCTTCACTCCGATCTGAAGGAGGGTTTGGATGGGTTGGAAAAAGCTTGCATTATAGGTGTCAGTTCTGGGAGGGTTTACCTTGGTGCAGTTGGCTGCCTTGGGCTCCAGGTCATTGAGGGTAACAAGTTCTCGGAGGAGGCTGCTTTCTTGGTAACCTCCTTTCACACCACGCAGCTTGAAGTAGGCCTGGCTACGCTGTAGAATGAGCCTCAGGTTGACGGCAAATCCAGCCATGTCTATTGCAAATGGTCGGTGTGGGTCGAACACTGTCTTCCAGCCGACCACCTTCCCTGCCCCGTTGACCCGTGGGGCCTCGTACCGAAGGCCACCAACGAAGGCAACAGGCCACACAGACACCCTCCTGGTGCTGCGCATCTACAAGAGGGGATCCAGAGTCAGGGCAGGTGGCACTGCTGATGGGGAATGGAGCCTGTCCCCAGAGAAGGGGAACTCGATTAACTCTATGCAGACAGGCCATCTGAAGCCGTACCAGGGGATCCAGCCCAGCCCTGTCTCCAGATGCATTCTCCACAGGGCACACCTATAGGGAGACCTGCCTCACTGTGAACAAGGCCTGATCTCTCACCCAGCTGACATGTTTCTTCTCTGCAAGACTTGCAGCCCAGCTTCCTCTCCTGCAAAACCTCCATCTTCCCAATTTAGAGTCTAGAATGACTCCTTCCCCTGCCCCAGACTCCCATGACTCACAAATGCCAAGGACAAGCTGTTCCACATAGAATGACTGCACTCGAGGCCTTTACTGAGACAATGCTTCTAAGGTCAAGACTTTGGTCTAAGAACTTCACCACCACCAACTCTCTTCCCTTTAACTACTGGTGACGGCTGAAACTTGCAGCGAGTTTTCTCCATCCCTTCCCTGGTTCCCCGCAGTCTACACCGACCCCAATTGGCACTGCCCCCCCCCCCCCCCCCCCGGCCAAACCTAAGTTTTCTCTATGTGCCCATTCCAAAGGGGCCCTCAGGAGGAGCCCCGGGGCCCCACACCAGAGGCCCTGAGCCGGCATCCTCCCCCACCTTCCCCGCCTTCTGCCCGTCCCACACCTCCTCAAAGAGCTCCAGACTGTAGGTGTTGTCGTCGTCAGCGAAGTAGACCACGCCCGGCTGGCTGGAGTTGCGCGGGAAAGTCTCACGCAGCCAGCGCAGGGCCAGGTTGCGCTGCATGGTACCCCGCGGGATGCGCGGGTCGCGGGCGTCGCCGCGCAGCTTGTAGTTGCGGGGCGTCTCCACGTGCAGATGCGTGTAATTGAGGCCGGTGTCGCGCAGCAGGCGTGCGGTGAGCGGCGTCCGGCGCGGCGCGTCCTCCACCACCAGCCAGTGCAGGTTGGGCACGTGCAGCAGCGTGTTGGCCATGCGCGTCAGCTCAGCCTTCTGCACCGGGCGGCTGTAGGTGGGCGTCACCACGTGGATGGTGGGCAGTGTGTCCGACCACGGCGGGGGCCGTGTATACACGTACTCCGTGCGCACTACCTCCACGATGTCACGGTCCGACATGCAGTATTCCCGGGGGTCGGCGCCCGGGGGCGCGTCGCGCCGGGGGTCACTGCCGTCATCTGTGGGGTTGGGAGACACATGGTGTGGGGACGGACCGCGCAGGCCTGGCTTCGGCCTCAGGTACTGGGCAGGAGGCCACCCGCCCCGCTAAGACAAACTTCTCCTCCCCTCCTAAAGGATTGTCATCCGGAACCTGCCTGGGGCTCTAGCTTTTAAGCTAAGAGAGAAAGCTGCGTCCTTGGAATTCTCTCAGGCATTTTCTTAGTTCTGACTAGCAAAAGGACACAGAAATAACCTCTTCCTCCTTCTCACATTTGACAGCTCTGTAGCTATTTGAGCGTGGCTGGCCAAATTCCAAGACTGCCTTCCCACTTCTGAAATGTGTTGGGTTTTATATGACAGTGTCCTGACGCTGCCCACTCTAGTGCCCTGCCCTCCCCATCTGGCCAGAGCTGCCTGCACTTGCCCCCTGCACTAGTGTAGCTGTCATAGGGCCCCAGACCAGCCTTAGGATTTTTCTAGCCACAGCACACTGTGGCCTGACTTTGGCTCAGCTCGATTTTTCACAAATTTCTACTTAAGTGGGGCCTCCCCCTTCCTGGTCTTATGAAACCTGGTGTAGAATTTCATCCTTAAGTATCACATTTCCTTCCAGGGTTATGCCTATGGTTGTCAGGATAATTGTGAATCCTGAACTTGTTGTTTGTACTTTTAGATGTTCTTAAATTTTGGCCTACACCAAAAGACAGAGTGGAACCTGGTTTAGCTCTTCTGCTGCTTCTATGTCAATCTCCCGATCTGTACATTCTGGACTCATTCAACCGTCTGGGAGATTAGCTGTACCACTGATCCCAGCTGTGCTAACATCCTTCTCGTGTATAAGCGTTACTCCCCGAGACACCACGAGGGACAGTGTGTGGAACCTTGCAGGGCCCTGGCCTCTGGTGAAACACTCACAGCCATGGGGAACCCATTCCTTCCTGAAGGCAACCTGTTCTGGCTGGGGTAGCTCTAACACATTTTTCTAGATCCTGGACATTTTCCTCATTACTGATGCTAGTAGTTCTATCAAGAGGGGAAATCAGGGCCATTGGTATTCTTGCTTTTAATGAGCCCCTCCTCTACAAGTTATGTCTTTTTGTTTGAACAACTGTGTGGCCCTCACTGCTCTCACAGTATCTCAGCAGGAGGTGGTAAAAGTCAAAGGACATACCTCAGAATCTGAATGCCTGGGCTCAGACCCTGTCCAGTTCTATCACTAACTACTGCCCTTGGGCAGGTTCCTCAGCTTCTGATGCCTCAATGTTAGCAACTGTAGTATGGAGCTAATAATAGCATCAACTTTACTGAATTACTCTAGGACTAAGTCAATATATGTAAAAGACTCAGAACACTGCTAGGCATGTTCTCTTTCCTCGTGTATAGAGGGAGGACAGTTGCCAGCCCTGTGTCTTCAAGGCTTCACACAGCCAGAGAAGGGATGAAAGAAGCATTCTCACCATGGGGTATAAGTATGGTCCCAGGGAGGATGCTGGGAGTCAGTCATTCTGTCATCTCTCCTCCTTCCCATCGCTGTCAGCAGATGGGGTGTGAATGGTGCTTGTATGAGGTGTGCTGCTGGGCTCTGGGAGGTGGTACCAGCTCTGGGCTCTTAGGGAGTTCACACAGGCCAACAGTATAATAAGACATACAGTGATGGAACCTGCAACTGGGGCAGGAGACACCATGCCCCCAAGGGTGTGAATGCGCACGTCAGGAGACTGGCTCAGCCTCTGTTGATCAAAGTCGACTTTTTGGAAGGGTTTTGGGGTCAAACTGGGAAAACAACAAAGTTGAGGTAAGAGAGATGGGTATTGGGGATTCTGATCAAGATATATAAGGGTTTATTTATTCTGCAGTCAGTGAAACTGAGGCCTGGGAAGAAAGATTCAAAGCCATTTTCCCAATTTTTCTTCCATTTAAGTCCTCCTAACCAGGTGGGTCTGGGCCCTGGGAAGGTTCTCCATGCCTTCTGACCTGGCCACAGTGTGATCTTAGCCCTTTGTGCTGTCTTCAGGCCTTCTGCAATGTCTGACTCACAAAGGCCTCCCAGCCACCCTGACTTGATTTCAGAGGCTTTCGTTCAGCCCCTCTTGGTATACTCGGGAGACAGAATGCCAGCTCCACAACCCCAGGCAGCAGCATCAGTGCTTAGCAAAACATTCGGACACCTCTGACCCTAGAGCTCTGCCAAGAATGGAATCCGCATGATATTATGTCACTTTGCATATGGTAGCTTTAACCCTTCTGGAATGATGTGGTTGTAGGATAACAATTCCAAAATGAAGAGCACCAAAGACAGATGATGGAGGATAAATGTCAGAAGAGGCTCTAAGTGCTCAGCATTGGGCAGTGGGAATTCCTTGATCTTCAGCCTGGAAACTTTTCCTCATGGAAGCTTCAGGAACTGCTGGGGCTGAGCAGGACCCACTGCATACCTGTGGAGCAGCCTGGCTTCTGACTAGGATTTTTGACTACTGATGGCATCCAAATCACTTGGGCTTACGAGCTCCATGTTAGATCTGCAGGCCCTACCCTGGATCCAACTGCTCTTTGGGATGAGCCTGGGTTCTTTTTTATTTTATTCTGTAATATGATGTACGTTTCAATAGGATAATTGCTGCCTTAGAGGATTGAGTCTGTGTGTACATGGAGTACACTGGAGGGTAGATGAGTGTGAGATGAGAGACCAAGGAATGAGGGGGGCAGGCCAGATGAGGGGCACATGGAAGGGGCCAGGGTATAGGGAGCCCAGTGTGAGAAGGAAAGGCAGCCTGGTGGAGGGGAAACCTCTGGACTCAGAGCCAGGAGAACCTCGTTCCAACCTGTTCATTCATGTGTGCTTTGTGGAACTTTTTCTCTATCCAGGCCTATTTTCACTAGGTAGGATTGACTAGGTCAGGGTTACCTAAGCAGGAAAAAGAACCAAACATTATGCTCTCCCTGAAGAGTTTTAAAACACAGGCCAGAAATCCTGTCCATCCATCCTTCGCTACCCACAGCTGAGAGCAACCAATCCTTACACATCCTGAGACTGGATGCAGAGTTGTGCATGGGGTCTCTGCATGTGTGTCTCTGCATATGTGTGTCTCTGTACATGTCTCTGTGCATGTGTGTGTGTTTCTGGGCATACATATGTGTGGGGACATTCTTCACATTCCCAAAGGGACCAAGACATCCCTAAAGGTAAGGTCATTGACCTCCCAGCTGCCTAATAAATGAGAACATGAGCTCCATCATTGTTGGTTGTTCTTACAACAGAAGCCTGGCTGGGACTTGGGGCCAGAGGTTGGGGGGCTCACCCTTATGCGTGGTGAGCAGAGGCGCGATGGTGCTCTGGTGCCACACGGTGACAAGCAGTGTCCAGGGCAGTACGATAAGGACAATCGCAAGGATGTCCCGTCTTTTCGGCATCTCCAAGGCTGGCTGGGCCCACAGCTCCTCGTTACCTGAGCGGTGGCAAGGTCAGGAGAAGGGTGGCCCCAGGGGCGATGGCAGCAGACAGTGGTGAGCACAGGGGAGAAAAGAATAGGAATGGGCCGGGCAGGCCAGGCACAGGGAGAGCAGAGAAGCCGAATGTTGGCTAGCAGGTCTTACCAGCACTCACAACCCACCCATTGCGGAAGCAGGTTTGCGGAGTCTGGCCAGACTGGAGACTGAGAAGGGGTGGCTGTCCAAGGGCAAGATCAGGAACCCTGTGAAGTGGACACCTGCAAGAGAGAGCAGAACAGGATGGCCAGAGACCTGGGGCCTTGCTGTGGGGCTCACAGCATTAGGGTTTTCCCAGTAGAGCGTGGATTGCCATCTCCCTGAGGCCCCAGCTTGCCTGCCTGAATGAAATGAGCTTCTGTACCCCCCCCCCAGGCATGGGGACATGGTGGTGCCCAGTTACATGATTCAGCAGGGCACAGAAGTTATGGGCATGACCTTGAAACACACGTGCCTTGTTTTAAATCCCAACTCTGCCACTAATAAGCCATATGCTCTTTACCAAGTTATGGTGCTCTCTGCGCCTCTCTGTTTTCTCATCTGTGAAATGGGGTATGACCACTACCTATTTCACAAGGTTTTGAGAATTAAATCAGTTCATACCCACAAAGGGCACAGAATGGCGTCTGGTACCTTGAGTGAGTAACTCAATTCAAGACCTGTTAGCTACTCTGATGTCCACATGTGTCCAGATGGTTTCTTTCATAGCCTAGATAAAGGGGTCAACTTTGGGGTGAGGGCCAACAAAAGATGTTTTTGGGGATAGGCCCCAGAAGGAAATGCAGCAAGTGCCTTTCCTTTGTCAACATCACATTGGGAATTTTTGTGAATTTTACATGGCTTGGATATAAGCAAGGTGAAGAGGGTCCCTGTGGAGGCTGCCATATGCCGAGGGGACAGCACTCACAATGCAAACAATGGGGTTCCAGGAGAGATTCCCTTTCTGTAAGTAGGGTGAGCCTGGTAGCCTCTTCAGTTCTGCAGAGTGACTGTCTGTCAGCAGCATCCTTCTCTGGGCCTTGTCTTGTGTGACAAGGACAGCAGGCACAGAGCCCTCATGACCACCGTGGAGACTGTCACACCCTATTCTCTGCCTTCCTTTCTCCTTCTGTGCTGAGCCCTGTGCAAGATGCAGGATCCAGGCAGCCCCTGGCTGGTTCTGGCATGCCCACCGCCTCTAGCGCCCAGCTCTGGGCAGTGATATGCCTTGGAAATGGCAGCTGCCCCGTCCAGCCCCAGTAGCACATGCTCTCCCCCTCCGGCAGTGTCAAGAGCCAAGGTCAAGGAGAACCTCTGTCTGATCCCCACCCACCCAGCTTGGGAAACAGCGTGTTTTCCTCTCCTTGTCTGGTCCTCTTTCCAAATAGGTTTGTCACCTTGTGGAAGAAGTATGTCTTCCAATGAAGAGCACGGCTGTTTCAGCCAGCACGTCCCCGCCAGCCACCTACCTATGAGAGGCCTGCTCTGCCTCCACCATCTCCTTGTAGGCAGGTGGTAAACAGGCTGCCCCACCTTCCTCAGGGAAATGGAAGGTCCCCCAGGCTGAAATGTTACAGGCAGGGACAAATGATGTGGACACAGAGCAGGGAGAATAATTCTAAAACTCCTCTTTCATGGCCCCCCCCAGGTGACAGAGCCCAATGTCCTACCCCAGGAGGCTTATCCGGTTCTTGTGTGCTCAGTAGGACGAAGTGGAGTGACCTCTTGCCACCCCCAGCCTGCGCCCCTGACTCCAAAGCCACAGACAAGGCTACAAAGAGCTGAGTCAAGGCCTCGGTTTGGCTGTGATCTCAGGCCACATTTGACGGAGGACAGGGGAGCTCCTAGGAGGCCTGGTTGGGAGAGTTCCTTTGGATTCTTAGTGATTCAAAAAGGAGCTTTTCCAAATGTCCTTCATCTTGGGGAGGGTTAATTCCAGGTTGGAGAAAGCACCAGAGAGGCAAGCTCAGGCCAATCTACCGCATGCACATTCAGCCTCCTCAGTGCCTGCACTTGCCTGCTTTTACATTTTCCCCCTCTGGGCAGCCTCTTATCCTAAGCCTCCTACCTCTGGCACTTGCTCACCCTCCCCAAGCTTGTCTGCTTGGGCTGTCGTTAGAAACAACAAGCTGTTAGGTAGCACTTGGTGATGCTCAGAAATGACACTCAACACATCACACTCAATCTTCATGGCGCCTCTGGCCACAGGTACCGTTGTAACCCCATTTCATTAGGAAGTCACTGAGGCCAGAGATCAGTGCTTGTCCAAGGCTGTAATTAGGTCATGGTAGAGCCAGACGTAAGTGCTGATCCTTTGCCTCCATGCTGTCAGTGGGACTATAGGAAGAGAGGTTCCAGGTCCCAGAGCCTCAAAGCCGGCTCAGGTGCAGGGTGAGCACAGGTCTACACAAAGACCCTGGCCTAGAGCTGCTTCAGAGCCAACCTTCTTCGCGAAAGCTGCCTCCACCATGGGGTCCAAGCACTTCCCTGGAGGTGGGAGCAGGAGGTGGGTTCTGGGGGAAGGATGTAGGCAAGGGTGTAAGGGGGCTCTGGAGATAATTTTGATCCCATCTAGTCTTTTTGGTCAAAACATTTATGAAAGGAAAGGGAGGAGGGAATGAGGGAGAAAAGCTCTAAAAATAAACTTAGCAATAAACCCAGTTGTGCATTAATTACTCTGGAAGCCATTACGGCTTGAAAACCCCATAACTTTAATGGAGGCTATTATAAGCACAGTAGCAAAATCGTGGAGCTAATTACCAGGCAGTTATTAAGCTGCACAGAGAGCCCTCAGCTTTGGAGAAATTTGGCTGGCCAGCAGGGGGCAGGTTTGTGGAAAGTGGGACCTGGGGCAGGGGAGGGTCCTGGGTGTTGCACCTACTCCTACCCCAGACCTGTGCTTGGGTGGGAGATGGGAGTGCAAGGATGATCACCTCGCCACTGCCTGCTCTTCTGTTTGTGCCTTGGGGGGAGGGCAGTAGCTTGCCCGTGGTTGCAGGCTCAGACCTCAGAATTCCTTTGGGCCCTCACTGGCTAGGGCAGAAGAATCAACACAAAGATGGAACGGGTGCTTGGCCACACCCAGAGGCCAGCAGAGGGGAGGAGGCAAGGTCAGGAAGAATGGGTTGCTTGAGGAAATGTTGAGTGGAGGCTGTGAGGCGTGGCTGATGGGAAACTGCAGGGGCCTTGCTGGGGCCATGACTCTCCATCTGACACTGGTCACCCCTATCTGTGACCAGCCTCAACATGAGGTTGAGACCTTCAGGCCTCTGTGACAATGAAGAAATGCCTTTTGTGGGAAAAGTGGGGTCAGGTGGGCATTCAAGGCAGAAAGCCAAACTAACAACTTTGTATGGAACCTAGTCATGATTTAATATATATGGAGAGTGTCCCTGTCTGGGAAGACCTATTTATAGGAACTTGTCTCTGGGGTTAAGGGTGTCATGGTCTGTGTATGAGAACCAGGGGGCATCTGGGATCCTGAAGGAAGTGCCAAGAATGGGACAGAGACAGTCAGGCTGAGCAGGAGATGCTGGGCCTGGGGAGGCAGAGCTGGAGGCCAGGTTGGCTTCAAGGCTGAATGATTCCAAATGGATAGAAAGGCTTCCTCCTGAGCCTACAGGGTGTTCAAACGAAAACCACATCAATGCCCCTAGTCCCTGAAGAGGAGCGTTATTTAATTACATTCAACAAATATTAACTCAGCATCTGTAGCGGGCAGGCACTGCGTCAGGTTCTATGGGCAAAGCAAAGCAGCAGCATGCGAGAGGGAGGTAGGGGCTTCCTTCCAGGGTCTCACAGCCCAGAGAGAGGGAGGTAGGGACTTTACACAGGTGTCTGTGAGGCTCCCTTAACAACACTCAGGGTGACGTGTGATGAGTACTCATGTTGCAGAGTGCATGTGTGTGCATGTGTGTGTGTGTGTGTGTGCGTGTGCATGTGTGAGTGTGTGTCTGATGGAGGTTAGTTACAAACAAGCTCAGAAACAATCCAAGCCACTTGTCTCTGTAGGATGTTAAAGCCATGTCACCCAATAAGACTGGGAACAGTAATTGGCTAGTCAAAGGAATCCATTAAAGTGAAGAGTCCTTCAAAATACGCACATATGATACATGTTTCAACTTTTAAAAGTAACTTTTAAAGAGCCAAGAGCTCAATAGGTGATGTTTTTCCAGGACTGCCCTGTATGTGGTCACTTTCCCCAAATCCAAACCACTCAGCACTGGCTAGCTTGTTTTGACACAGGGCCTTAGCCTTTCCTAGAGCCAGGAGACAGCTGAGCTGAGTTCCATCTTGCCTTTCTGACATCCTCCTCACCACCACGCACTGCCTGCGCCGTCCAGCGCTGATGTCTTTGAAGTGGTCCAGGACCTGAAGGATACCTGGTGAGCAATTCAAGTGCTGTACCCTTTAAGATTTTTTATGACATTTTTTATGACATACATCTTCACCTAATTTGGAGAACTTTTCCCCTAGAGTCATCTTATGGAGTCTTTTGAGAGCATTCAACTTAGTTTTCATAGAGACAACACATTTATTTCTTTGCAATATTTGGTTCCTATAATATCCTATGATGGTGACAGCAAGCATGACCATTGTAAACAGGCTGGGAGCAATCATTATGGCCTCTCCGTAAGCATGCGGCTCAGCTGGTACAAGCGGGAGTGGGCTGCCAGAGGCGAGGTCCAGCATCATGCTTCCACAGGCAGTCATTCCTGTGCTTTACAGGTGGGGTGGAGAACATCAGTTACGTGCACAGTCAGTCGAGGAAAGGCTGGTTAAGAGAGCTTCTGCTGCATGTGTGAGGGGAAAAAGCTGTCCTCTGTCATCTGGGAGCCTGAGACACTGGGGCTGATGAGGCAGATGCTGAGGCCTCCCCACGCAGAGGCACAGCCAGCCTGACTGGTCTGGGCCCAGAAGGAGGGGGTGGGTGGGTGGAGAGAGCTAGGGCAGCCAGAGTGGCTAGGGAAGGCACCAGGCCTTTGAGCATGGAAGCAGGGATGTGGCAACAGGAGGCAGAGAGAGGGGAAATTTTAAAAGAAGATAGTGGGAGGGATGCTGGTCAAGGCTCTATCTAGCATTACCCTTTAGCCCCAGACAGCGCACCTCTCAAAGAGAGGCACAGACTTTGTCCCTGAGACCCGCAGGAGCCCCTAATGGGATCAAGGGATTAGTATTGATTCTGCTGCCACTGCTCAGGAAAAGCCCCATGCCAGAGCTAATCAGTGCCTGGGCCAGTCAA